TGTATATATTTTCCTTTCATAGTCTCTTCCCTTCTCCTTCTGACTTTCAAAAACAACACGGCTCTCTCCTGTGATTACTGACAGCAGTAAATTTACTTAGATGCACTCGAGTACCCGTCTTAGTGAACCCATCAAATCCTCTAATTGGCAAATGCATTTTCTAGGCTGGGCTCATCATAAAAGGCTCCTGATTGCAGAGACAGAGCCTCTTTCTGTTCAAGACAAAATTCTAAAATTATCGTCCTCTTTGCATAAAAAGCCGACCTATCTTTAGTAAAATGACTAAACCAACAAAATAATTAGAAGCATGGTGGGAATAAAGTGTCCATCCTCTCACTGTGCAGCAGGTTATTCTACATACATCAATCATCTATAACTAATTGTAAACAGAGACAGAGGTTTTATTACAGTATGAAATTATCAGTGTAATTAGATCCCGAGCATGTGAGCAACAGAGCCTCTCCTCCGATGTGCTCCCTCTTTGTACTACATGTAGGCACACTGATAAGGATGATGAACGGCTTCTCCCGTAGCTGCTGATGGATGATACTGTCATTGTGACAACATCAAGCGAAAAATTTAATGAAAATCTTTGATACCTTGAGGCTTTTTGCGGTGGCACAGTGGTAAATGAGAGAAACGCGAGGTTCATGGCTCTCAGAGATTTCACTGAAGCCTGACAGCAAATGAACACTGACCATTATTCTCCCGGTGTGCACAAACATAAATCTACTGTACCTCGGCACTATATGTGTTTGACGTTCCTCTCGCCATCCATGGTTAAACAGTTTGCTTTGACTGAGGAGCCCCCGCACCAGATCTGGTCGGCTCACAGGAAGCAGTGCTTCCTTTGAAACGTAGTTTTAATTATCTCAGTTTCTTAGTGGAGCTGCATGTTGAGGGTCTCCAACTCTCCTGGTTGTATTTACTGCATTACCTGGCAGGCAGCGTGGAATAGGCACAGAGGTTTGTTTTGTTATTCTGCAACAGGCTGCTGACGGCTGTGCAAGATTTAATCAGGCTAACCACGGTGGATATGGCATTCGCAATTACACTTTGACACTCAAATTGGAAACAGCAGATACCTGATGGCTGTGCAAGGACTTAATTAATCTGCTGTGAGGGAAGGCCTTGATACGTGCAGGCTGGTGTGGAGAACACCTGCTGTCCATCTCCCTTTTGTAATTCTTTAATTCCAATTATCAACAATAAGTACATTTTTGGATGCAATAATAATGTTCCAGCTCGATAAGTGGGGGCTGTTGGATGAGACCAATCATTTACAGCTGGTAAGGAAACGCGCCTGACCACAGAAAAACAGCTTTGCAGTGTGCCGTCATGTCTGCTTCAGTAACTAATAATGCATGAGTAAAGGTGAGTATAAGTGCGCCATAAAACAATGTTCAGAGAAACAATATTTTGTTTGTTCCACAGCCTGTTTGAAGCTGCACGGCAGCAGATGGTGAGAAAACCGAAGCTCAAGATAAAACACACAAGGTGTAAAGATACTCATTTAAATGCGGAGGACTGTTTGTTTGTTAAAAAATTGAAAATTGAAAAATGAAAGGCTGATATCCTGCTTTCACAATGACAGAAAGGGGTTTTTCTGATGCAGCATTAATTTGCCAAGTCCTTCAAATGTGGCACAAAAACTGGTCCGCTGGTATTTTAGGCATTTATTTATCAGTCGGCCTGCAGTGTTTCCATCTCTGTTTCTGGATACCTGCTGAACGAGCTTCCTGCTGGGGTTTTAACCACAACACAACACATATCGCCTCTAGCATCAATAATTGTGGAAGAACAATACATCTCCATGTGCAACGGCACCTTTAACAACCTTCCTGATTATTTAAAAAACGTGTCCTACAAGTTAAATCGGTGCCTCTTTGACAGCGTGGCATTTCTGATGTCATGACATTGACGCTCATCGAAGTGAAGGTCCGATGTGCTCGCTGTAATGTCACTGCAGAGCTGCTGCAGAGCTGCTTTCATCAGTTTAAGCTACAGTGAACAGTTGCATCAGATCCTGATAATGAGTTTGTGTCTCATCTGTTAGTGATTACAGGACTGTGCTAATGTGTGTAAACTGCCAGTCTCGTCTCTGGTGAGATGCTGAAATAAGGTCAGCATATCCATAAAAACTGTGGCTGTGCCTTCTGGCTCAGATAATTTTCCATATGCACAATAACTCAATCAAGCTGCTTTTTTTCTTAAAATTCTCAGCCAACTGAAGAAATCAGCACTTCAGCGCATCGTTCGTGTCATTCTGCTTGTCTCATATTCAGAATCAGTCAGACCACTCTGGATAGCATCATATAAAATACTCTTAATGCTTCCCTCAGGTACACCTGCTCAACCATTCGTTAACACAAACATCGAATCGGCCAATCACATGGCAACATCTCAGTGCATTTAGGCATGTGGACATGATCAACACGACCTGCTGAAGTTCAAACATCAGAATGAGGAAGAAACATGAACGTGGGATCGTTGTTGGTACCAGGTGGGCTGCTCGGGCTATTTCCGAAGTTGATCGACCCACGAGCAGCAGTTCTCTGGGTGAACATTGTGACCGTGTCCGTCCCTTTGCGACCACAGTGCACCATCTTCTGAGGGCTGCTTCCAACTACGTGCCACATCCTGGTCTCTTGAACCTGAGTGTTCTCAAATGGCCTTCACAGTCACCTGATCCAACAGAGCCCCTTTGGAATGTTGTGGAACAGGAGAGTCACATCAAGGACGATCAGCTGACAAACCTGAAGCAACCATGTAGTGCAGTTTAAATGATAACAAATAATGTGAACTATCCAAAAGAATCTCTCACTTCTGATCTTGGATGGTGATTTTTGGTCCTTCAGTGGTTACTTGCCAAGAAATACTGAGTGGCTGTTTGAGGATGGCTTGTCGTTGCCTATAGTCTCTGATGTTAGCTTGCTCATCCATCAAACCATCCTCACATCTCCTTCAGGGTTTCAGGCTCAAAATGCCTAACTTTCCTTAACTGCTAAACAAACTGTTTTGGTCTCTTTAGCTAAATTAGCCTCCATAACAGCTGCACATGGGTCAGTGGACACTGATACAGGCAGCTAAAGCTAGCTGTGCTTCACCTGTTTATTAAGGACTGTAGCAGTGTTGGACCAAGTTGTTTGCTTTGCACTTACTTTCACCAACAGAAGCTCCGGGTATTTGTCTACTGACAGAGTGCTAGCATGTTAGTAATGTTAGTAATTAGATGGTGTCTGAGTCTGTGTACATACAGTACATGGATGGAGCTAGCTTGTTAGCATTAGCCAATAACTGAGCACTCCACCCTAATATTAAAAACAAAAAATAGCAGCAAAGAAATGCTTTCAGCTTCAAACTGTGCAGTCATAAACTAATGGATGACATCATTATACACAGTCCAGGGTTGAGTCAGTCTGGACATGCCTGCATCTTTGCTGCGCCCTGACACATCCAACTCAAAGACAGTGGAGATCATGTGACGCCTGACCAACAGACACCGAGGACTCGCCCAAGGTTCGACTTTACCGATCCAAAGGAAGAATGATTGTTACCGCCATCATTGCTCCAACAGCGTGGAGCTGGTGATGATGCTCCACCTCAGCAACACAATGCAGGGCAAAGTGAGCTGTTCACAGCAGAGCTGCTGCGACAGTGACAGCACGGAGCTCTATGGTCAAATTATATTTGGTGATTGATTTTGTGTTGCAGATACGGTGTCTGTGGGCGGGTTTATCACACTTACACCAGTGAAAACAAGCTCATTCATTCATTAGCGGACCACGAGAGGTAACGTCCACCTTGTCCAATTAAAGCTGTTTTGATTCATAAAAATTAAATAAAAAGATATCTGCCATCACTAATTATGCGATACTATAATTAATATGAATGCGCACAGCCATTAATGTTCCATGAACTAAATGTTTAATAAGGACTGACAAACATTCATTCAGTCAATCAACAATCACCAGTGGATGAATCCTAGTAGGGAGCACAGTGGCATCACTGGTGCTCAGAGCAGGCCTGCAGAACAGCAACACTGCCATCCTGTGGGCAGAGCGTGCACAGGCGTTTCCCGCAGAGACTGCACGCAGACAGCAGGATGTGGCACAGTCGCTAAAATAGGAGTTATTCTCTGTCCGCTGCATTTATCTTACAGGGCGAGCACAATTCCACCGAGTCTGTTTCTCTTTCTGTATAATGAAGGACTGTGATGGTGCTTTATCACTCGCACATCCTCATCCCCAACATTAGCTCAGATATAATGAGGGTTACTCAGAGGACGGGGGCCTCTCTGCAGAATGATAAAAGACCCCAGAGTGTGCCGGTGACACAGCATCGGTCATTAGCCGGGCTCACTTTGCCCTTTCATGTATTTCTAAATAAGTGCCTTCCTGTGGGTTTAACAGACCACCTAATCTGCCTACTTAGAGGCGCAGGCGAAGAGTGGGGATCCAGAGAGGTGAGTGTCAGGCAGGTAAATGTGCTTATCAGAGCTGTGACATGTTTGGCTTCTCTGGTGGAAACGCTGCCACAGGCTTTTAAACCTAGTAGGTTTCACCGGAGATGGAAATTACGGAGGATTAGTGTGTTTGTGTTAAGTATGGAGGAAATGTGGAGCCATTATCATTACAGGCTGAAACTCCCCACACTATTTCTCATGTTAGCTTTCCCTTTAGTTGCGCGGACCTATATGATCAATAGCGAGCTGAGGAGTCTTATCTGTGGCGCGGTACAGACGCCGGCCCGGAGCTGCTGCACAGCCTGAGGACGTGAGGGATGTTTCGGCTCGGACAGTGAAAAAGAGCAAATCCATAATCCCGGAACATTATATAAATAACCCAGCTTGAATACTCGGGGACGTTTCAAAATGAGGCAGAATAAGATGAAGTCAGATTTAACAGCAACACAGGAATAACCCCAGCTGTGTGGAGGAGGGCGGCGTGTACCTGGAACTACAGCAGCCCCTCCTGTAACACCAGGGAAGGAGCTTCCTCCCACCCTCCACACGAAAACTAGTTTCAAAGTGATGTAGTCAACCGTGTTTTCACACTGTGAAATGAGTTTCAGTGACCCGGCCGCCCCCGGGGCTTCAGCTACGAGAGCCCACGACCGGTTCATCTCCAGGGTGGCGTCACACAATTCCTGCCGTGTAAGATAAGGCTGTGAGGTTAATATAAATGGTGCTACTACATCACTGTCAGATTGGAGAAAAACAGGCCGTTGGCACTCTTCTGATGGCAGAGGAACAATCGATGCAAAGTGAGTGAGTGCTGGGTTATTTGACCAAACTAGGCCGTATGCCCCACGGGGACCACGGACTGGCAGCCACGTTTCAGTGGATAATGTCGCTGTAACTGTGGCCATAAAGTAAGTGGCTCCGCTGCCTCCACCAGAGGGCGCTGTGCAGCACACCGCCTCCCCTTACCTGCCACACCACCAACGTTTTTACAACTGTCTGCAGGAAGTCGGACATTGAATCGAGCTCCTTACAAAGACATGAAAAAAGGAAGAAAAGCATTTATTCAGCAGCTCTCAGCCGCCAACAAACACACAGCAGGGTCACCATGAACATCTGAACACACAACAGCTGGAGCATCAGAGCTTCACTCAGACACACAGCAAGGTAAGAAGGTTCTCCCACAAATGCACACACACTCTTACACAACATACATACCACACACCCACAAACATAGTTTGAATTTTTGTTGGCACAGCGTGACTCAACACAGCATGAAGCCACTTCTAAGGTACTGACAATGTAGTGCATGTTATTCAAAAGAAGATCAGGACTATGGAGACTAACAGACTGAATGCATTAGCAGGGTGGCCTCCTGGATTGTCGTGCCTCCCAGCACCGATCCAACCTCGCTCCTGGACAAACGGTGGCGTCTGCGCTCTGAGGAGGGTCACACCGACGTGGCAGAGCTCTCTCACCATTCATTTCCCACATTCTTAAAATACAGAACAAACGTTAAAATATCTCATCGCGTGTACGTGAAGAGAAATGAGTGGATTCTGAGTCAGCGAGGATGTAATTTACAGCTTCACTGAAAATGGTTTTAACATTGATTTATGGTGATCGTGTCAGGACACGACTGCACTGCGTGAACCTCCTGGGATGAAAAAACCTCAATTCCTCGCATGAAACTGAAGAAAAATATTCAAGAAACCTGAAGGCAGGGGGGGGGGAAACCGGACATTAAACTTGCAGCTTCAGCAGCTACTGCAAACACAAAGTGGGCGATGGAAACCTGCTCCACAGAGAGGCCATCAGTGTACATGCAGTCTACACTGACTGCAGGCCCAGATTAGAGGAGGCGAACAAACTAACGGCTTTGTAGAGAGAGAGGAACCAAAGGAAAGGCAGTAAACCGCTGAACGTGTCGAGCAGCACAGTTGGTGTCAATGGCAGTTTGGTCGCTGGCTTCCTGTGAGCCATCAAGCACTGCAGTCGCCGTCCATCCTCACAGCAGAGCCAGTCAGCTTTCATTCATTCAGATTGGCAACATAGTGGTTGCGATTGTTCTAGACATGAAACTATAACAAGCTATCAATAAAAAATAATCAGATTCATTGAGATCAAAGACGCTGAGCTCTGCTCCCCTGTTCTGTGGAGCTTTGTGTTTTCAGGTCCACGAGGAGCTCAAAGTAAACAGCATCTCTCCCTGAAGCTCTTCTTGTTCTTCTTGTTCTTCCCTTTCCCGTTCTTGTCTTTGTTTTCAGACATTTTCTTGCCTCGCACTTCACGCATCAGGTCAAAGAACACCTGGAAAGAAATCAATCGCATATTTATAACACATACAGGACTCGTGTGTGAAAGAGTCAAAAGCTCAGCTGTGCAGAAGCTTCAGGCACGTTCCGATTCCTCAGTACTCTATGTGACGGCTCCCAGTAAGACCAGCAGCACGCAGGCGTTGGTACAACTCATCGGGCGGAGCGGGTCACCCGTGTGCATCAGCACGCCCTCCCCTGCTCGATCTCAAAGGCTAAAATTCCCCAAAAATTATTCAAAAAAGAAGTGTGGCAGGTCCACAGAGATTAAACCAGCTCTCAGAATTTCTTTGTTTGCTGTATGGAGGGTCGTGGGCATTAAACCTCCCTGTGCCCGCCCACCTCCTTCCTGGGTCTGGGCCTCATCCCAGTGGGTCATGCTGGAAACGGCCCCACTGGGAGGCGCACTCTAATTTCTGTTGAATCACGTTTACGTCACCTTCAGTGCCTAAAACTTGAGCACAGCTCTGTGCTGGTGCGTCTGAGTGATGATACCTTGTCAACGTTGGCTCTGGTTTTTGCTGACGTCTCCACGTACTGGACGCCCCACGCCTCGGCCTTCCCGCGGGCCTCGTCCACGGGCACCTGCCGACGCTCCTCCAGGTCCGACTTGTTCCCCACCAGCAGGAGCGGGATCTTGTCCTCTTCTGCCTTCACCCGCAAGATCTGCTCCCTGTGAGCACAAATGATTATTTGGTCTTTCTCAGGACGTTTCCCCAAATCTAACATGATAACCAGCTGGCAGCGTCACAGAAACAAAGACTTTTACAGGTTGATTAGCAGGATCGGGGCCGGCGCTTTAATGTTTCCACACTGTCGACGGACGTGCTGCCGTCATGTACACTGCTGAAAAACACTAATCTAACTTGCATTGTAGCCGTTTGGAGGATCCCATCCTCTCCCCTCTCAGCGAGCCTCAGAGGCTGACGTGTTTGATTCAAAGTGCTGCTGACTAACGTTTGCATTAAGCTTCAGTGTTTTGTTGCTGTGCTCTAATCCTATCTGCACCTTCCTGCCACAACACGTCCACACTGACACGCCTCCCCACTGACACTGTGACGTGGGTGTGACTCTACACGATCTGGATATTCATGTATTATCCAGACACTGAAAGACACTCGTGGGTGCAGATTGTTGCTGATGTGCCGACTCTGGATACTCTACAGCAGATGTGTAACGAGCGACGATGGCTGATGATCAGTGATGTCATTTTTAACCACTCGCCGGCTTTCATTAATGGCACCAAACTGAACGCACGCATCCGTACCTGAACTCAGCAGTGGCAGCGAAGGACTCGGGCTCTGTGATGGAGAAGACCAACAGGAAGCCCTCCCCGCTGCGAAAGTAGTTGTCCCTGATAGCAGCATAGTCCTCCTGCCCGGCGGTGTCCAGGATGTCGATCTGAGCCTCCTCCCCGTCCAGAACCACCTTTTTCCTGTAGCTGTCTGCTTTGGTGGGCTCGTAGTCCTCCACAAACTACACGTGAAGAGGCAGAGCAGTGGCGCCTGATCAGCAGTGACTCAGCAGGCTAACATGGAAATCAGACGCATGGACAAAAACGCCTGCAGACATGCTGCTGGGAGCCGGAGCTCTCCCCGACACAGGTGGGGACCAGTGACAGCAGCGCCTCTGTTAGGCAGGAGTGGCTGTTAGTCTCAGGCTACAGGGAGCAAGAGACTCATTTCACATTTATGGCAAACCACTGAAAACATCATAAAGGTTGCAAATAAAATCCAGATAGTAAAATAAATGAAGAGTGGTCACGCCTGCAGCCAAACCCCCTCATCTGCTGTCGTGACCTTGCTACAGCAGTGCCTTAGAAGTGTTAACTCACCTCATCGTACATGAACTGCAGGGTGAGGGCTGACTTTCCCACGCCGCCGCTGCCCACCATTATCAGCTTGTGCAGCACCAGAGAGCTCTGGTTTTTACCCTTATTGGCAGCCATCACTGGATTCTTCTTTGTGCCTCTCTTAAACACTCAAACACATGTGCACAGGTACACACACACACACTCACGACCTGTAGAGGACAAGAGCGGAAACATCAGTGCGTACAGTAAATAACCTCCGTGTGCCGAAAACACAAGCGTACCGTGGACGAGCGCGAGGACAGATGGCAGCTGCTTCTTAGCAGCTTTCACTCTGACTCGCTGTGCCAGGACTCCAGGCTGTGCTCCAGCTAATCTTAAATCTTAACCCCCATCATCTCCATTAAAGCGCCAAATTGCCTACTCGTGAATCCTAGAACTTTATAAAGTTCGCCATCAAAAGGTCATTGCAACTGATCAGAAGTAATGAAGCCATCATTCTTCAGTGCAAAGCAGCATTTACAAATGCATTAAACAGGCCACCGTGTGCTAAACTGGTTAAAGAGCAGGGAGACGTGCCTGCCATCTATCTGCTCTGTAATGGCTCTGCCCTCACAAGGTGAAAGCTCACAGTCAATTGCTTTTACCCGACTTCACAACCTTCTCTGTGTCAGATACGATAGCTGCCGTGCCCTCACCTGCTCTATGCTGTGGACGTGGTGCTGTGGAGTGCATCAAATAAGGTTCACAACAAATCAGCAGTCTAACAATGTTTACCTGCAGTGCTCAGCAGGAATCAGAAGTGCTTCTTCATTATATGTTTGAGCACGGCCGACAGCTTCAGTCATAACCAGCAATGTGTGAAAGCCTGTTGATCTGATCAGTTAGGAGATGACTGAGTGTCCGAGGAATCTTTTCCTGGCATTAAGCGTTTCTTATCTACCACCTTTACACGAAGCGTCACAGGAGCTTGTATACAAGCAGGCAGAAAGTCAGACGCGAGTGGAGCTGGTGGACGGGCCGTGGTGGTAAAAACACTTCACTTCCTGTTGTCACAGTTAGTGTCACACATGAAAACCATGTGACAGTTCGTGCTGACATCATTGGTGGACTTTTTCCTGTGGTAGGGACACGCTGTGTTTATATGTAACTGCTCTCTCGTACTCTCTACTTAAATCACAAGGCTTAAACTAAAAGCTCACAGCAGTCAACAATCAGTCAAAGTCCCGTGTTCAGAAGGAAATGCGTTACTGCAGACATTATCAGCTCACTGCTGTAACTGAGAGGCGATCGTCATGAAGAGAAGCTGATGTTTTTGCATCCATATCATAGGATGCATCTGTGACTGTATCTGTATCCTGAGCTCTTATGACCCATCGCTTCCTGCAGAGCAGCCTGCTAACACAATTCCAGCCCTGATAAACACTGATGACTTTCAGTCCTCATTAGTTAACCCCCATCTGTGTTTAAGGCATCGTCACTCCCCGTTTGTTATCCGCGCTGCACCCTTGACGCTCATGCCGGACAGGCGAACACTCATCAGCCACTGAGGCGCAACAGCTGGCCACTCCGTGCACGAACCATACGAGCTGAGATGAAGTCTGCACAGTCCATCACAGGAACCCCAGCTCCCTCATTGGGACGATGCTGAGCCTCCTCTGAGCTGTCACACTAACAGCAGCACACAGCTGATTCCTGGCGTTATTCTAAATCTGCTCCACCCAAACAGCAAACACTTCATTTCACAGAGTGGGCTCAGTGCTCACACTCAGGAACCTCCTGCCTCTCACACATGTAATAGAAGAGCTCTGCAGAAGCTACAAACTCCTGGAGGGAAATCAAACAGCAACAACCTGTGTGTGAACGTCAGTTTCTTTACATCGTCTGACAGCAGAACTCATCTTGCTGCGTCAGCCGTCGTACGATAGCTGCTGATGCCGGCGATGAGGCATCGTGGTCTTCCTATATCCTAGCAGGAAGTGAAATCTGATCTGTGCTCTTCCTGTCTTTGTTATCATTCACAGGCCAGGATACCCACACAAGCCTACACATACCCAAACACCCATCAGGAAGGCAGCTGACACAGAGGAGGGGTCACCGTGTAAATTATTTACTGCGACCCACTTCTCCGTACGCCAGCGCAGACACAGACTCCATCATAAACAAAGCAGTCAGAGCCAATAAACTCAGGCAGTGTGAAACATGCGCATCATCAGAATCAGAATCAGAATACTTTATTCATCCCGAGGGAAATTAGGGGTTACAGCAGGCAGCACGCTAATGGTGCATGCGCACTCACAAAGGAACAATCATGTGTGCTTAGTGGAAAGTTTCCGAGGGAAGTTCACACAGCGAGGGTGGGGCCGTGTCACATTTCCACCAGCTGCGCTGCGACTTTGAATGCAGGGCCAAAATCAGGGGACAGTTGCAAAAGATATGAAAAATTCATATTTAAGCATGACCCACATCCAGGAGCTGAGTGCGCGCGGTGCTGGTCCTTCTTCGGGGCGGTTGGGTTATGGGGGGAGCCTACAAGGCCGCTCTGGTTTCTAAGGCTCCTGAAATATAGATGACACCAGCGCAAGAATTCATTAAGATTCCCTTTGGAGAACGGCCCGATGTTCCCTCTGCACTCATCCTCACACTCTGGCAAAGACGTACGGAGGTTTGCAGAGACTCTCGCAGATCCTAACAAAAGATTACAGCAAACAGAAAGTGTGAAGCACCCAAACTGGATTTATGTGCCGAGTAAAGCCGAGACATCTGAGCCAGACTTGTAAAGAGCCCGAGGATGCTCCGTCTTTCCACATTCGTCTGATCCCAGGGGTGGGGGGGATTTCCTCTCCCTGTCTGATGAAGAAAACAGTGATGTTTATTCCCTAAATAACAAACCTCCAAATTCCAAGGATTTCCAAAGGAGATCAGTTAGTTTTCTCATCTCGATACCGATCCACTGAGTCAATCACAACACTTATGTGGCCCACCGATACGTCGCGCATGCTAAACAGCTTTCACTTTAATGCTTCTGTCCTCTCAACACTTCCTTCTTTTCCAGCAGAAGTGAGGGAGCACACAGTTCCCACTATAACCATAACTGGAGCTCGCTGTGATAAAACAATACGATGGAGGTAAGAGTACGAGCAGGTCACACACAAAAAAATAAAGACCTGCGGGGTTATTTACCAAACATCTGGGCATCAGGAAATGATTTTTCCTACTTTCAAAGACAGCACGCAGCAGCACGAGAGACATCTTCAAAAAGCGAGCTCCCCACTGTGCATACTAACGACCCTGAGCCAGGAGAGTGTACAGAGAAGCCTTTGACCAAACTGGGCAGCAGGGACCCGGATCGTCTGTAACAGTCCTCGCCCTCCGGCCGCAGCGAGCGGGACCTTTCAAACAAACGTAAACGCATACGAAGTCTTCACTGATCCCTGCAGTGGATCAGCAACACGCCTTTAACACAAAGCAGATATCGTTGCTCCCCATGCTGCAGCTGACCCTGATGATCTTATCCAGACACTCGAGTCGTTCCCATTCCCGGAGCATTCCACTGGACTGATTCACCACGGAGAGACCGATGAGTCCACTTCTCAGCACACATTTCATCACAAATGTATTTGTTCCTGCTGAGCAACTCCCAGCTGCCCACTACTTATCTCTCATTGCAATGTAAACATATCTTTTCATTTTCCTGACAAATAATCACAACGGGCCCCGGTACATACCACCTACACCAGCGCAGCGGCCTGCAGTGCCGCCCCTGGAAGAAATAAAAGCACCACCTCACATTTCCGCTCCATCTGTCTTCACGGAGCCGGTGGTGACGGTAAACTTCACTGCTCTCACACTGTCTGTACCATCGGAGAAGGCGAGGTGGTCAACCTCAATCTGCCTTGTAATACTTCCACGCTGGAGCGAGACATGGTGCTGCGGCCTGCAGCTACAGCTTAAACACAGACGTGGGTTTAATGAGACAGCGAGGCGACTGGACAACTGTGTGAAATCTAATCTCCCAGGCTTTGCATCTGTCGAGCAGAGAGAGCGACGTGTGCTCTAAAAAAGAAATGAACAACAAATACTCAGTTTAAAGATGTTGCTCGTCCCGACCGGGACAGTTACACTTTCCCCTACTTTACTCTGTAACAAGGCATCGATACAGAAGCCAGGACACGGCTGTAAAGTAATAACCAATATGATGGTTTATTGCTTTGCTAACCAAATGATGTCCGTGTTTGTGCTTCCCCTTCAAAAAACTACCGGTTATTAAAGCAGATACAGTTACAACCTGAAGGACGTAAAACATCCTGAGGTCTCCACAGAGGCCTGAATGAGTGAAAGACCCCGGCCGTGAGGTGTTAATTAAAACTGAAACACACCGACCCTGGGCTACCATTGTGTTCCACAAACACTTATTTGCATAAGCAGTTCCTCTTCCTTTAAGGAAACAGGATGTAATGCTTTCCATATTTGATGTGTTACACATATCAGTTACAACTACTGTGTGTAAATATCTGGACATCAGAACATGTCGGTGGGCGTCTTCTAGAGAACTACACCGAGTGCTCGTCCAGGCCGAGTTTCTACTTCTAATTAAGTCAGACAGAACTAGACAAAGCCCCGTCGGCCTGCTGAGTAAGGCGCCGTTTATCACTGCTACGCACTTACCTACATCAGGACACAGCCTCACTTCTATTTAATGACAGACCTGAGAGGATGGCACTAATGCTAATGCACAGCAGGAAAAGACCGCAGCGGGCTTTCAAGATAATTCAGTGAACTTAAGTTACATAAATAACCTGCATGACTCTCAGCACAGACCGTCTGTTAGTCAGTGGGCAGCAGCAGCCTGACTGAGCAGGTTCATCAAGAGTAACCAAAGATAATGATCCACACTCATAACATTCACACTCGGTTCACATCGATATGACATCTACCTGAAGTACGTCTGCAAACGGACCGTCTCAGTGTCAGCAGCTCTCAAATCAGCGTCTGTGAGCGACAGGCAGAAACAACCAATAGGACGGCTCGTTTAGCAGACTACAACCTCGGCTCAGCGATCGCTTTCTGTCATCTGATCTCTGATCAGCTGTACTTAGAAACAGTGGGTAGAAAATGTGACTTCAGCAGCTCAGTGAGCAGCTCTGTGTGTTTGCTGTGGACCACATTACAGCCCAGATTTCACAGTTGTTCTGACAACAAGAGAAACTTTTACTTACTTCACTTGTGAGTTTGTCTGCATTAAAATGCAGTACGCAGGCTGTACGTCCCTGCTGGTTATAAATGGGTTGTTTCATGGTTACTCCTCAGAGCTACACATTGACCAAAGCTCACCATTCCTCTAGGTTATCCACAGCAGGATTTCCTGTTCCTGCGGGAATGTCACCGGCTAAAGTAATTCACTGGGATTTCAGATCTCCGGGTCACAGGAAAGTGTCAGTTTGGTTATTTCTGCTTTACGTGCTGTCACATAACTCTTCTGATATTTGTACCATTTTCTGGAACATAAAATTACTGGAGATAAAAAAAACTTTTAATAAAGTTTCAGTCATAGTGATTTTTTAGCAGCATGCTATCAAACTCCACTTAGCTCTGACCCAAGAAGAAGTGAGAAGCAGCCCGTGGGTGGATGTTAGCTCAACATGAGTACCCACTGTCCACGTAGGAAGAAGGGAACCTTGGAGGAGTCTCCAAAGGTCGATTCTGTTCATCTGGACGTAGCGTTTTGTGGGAGAAACGTTTCATCATCATCCAGCTGACTTCTTCAGTCTCAGCTGCAGGTTTATAATCTTATAATCAGTACATTTGCATAATGACTGAAACCAGCCCACTGAGGAACAATGGGCTGGGAGGTCAGTTCTTTCATCATAACCATAAACCTTGGAAGAGGCCTGTGAGGCTGGGGGGTAACTTTCTCCATAAACATCTCATAACACTATAAAAATGGATATGGGCCCTTTAAATACAATTTCCCCCAAAACAAATAAAAATGGCCCACCAGCTTTTAGAAACCACGGGAATTCCCACAAAACTGATGACCTGCTTTTCCTGGAAGAGCTGTTATTGTGCTTGGATCAGCGCGGTGCTCGGGAGCTGTTTACGAGGGTTTCAGAAGATCACGAGACTGTGAGCTTACAGGATGTCACTGCTGCTTTAAATGAGGTGTTAGTCAGCCCAGAATGACACGAGTCTGTGTGATGAACCACACACGGTCACTTTCCCCTCACACAGACCCACAGCGGGCTTTGTCAAAGAGAAGGAAAAGTGCTGCTGCTTTGCCAGCATCGTCCCTCCACCAGCACCTCAACTGTATACATGTAAACACGGAGCACTCACCTAGCTGCCTTCCTCCTCACATTTCTGCACTTCACCGGAGGGTTAAAGTGACCATTGCAGGGCCTCCAAAGTCAGGGGGCTGACAGAGGTGTCCCTCCATACAACAGGAGAAACTCCATGTATGATTTTCTCCGTCACATACAGACAGAGGACAGGTGTGACAGCACCAGCATGATCTCAGTGTTAGCACACCAAACTGTCCTTTTCGCTGACATCAGCTGAGTTACAGGAACATGAGCCGGACCTGGCTCACTGGGTGTGTCCACTCATCTTCCCAGAGGTAAAAACTTTTCAGCAACTACCGCCAAACAAAGTAGAACCGCTAACTTTACCCAGTCCGTCTCTAAACGGTAACTTTACACAACAACAGAGCAAACAGGAGCGGTAAAGCCGCTGTAGTGCCACAGCACAGCCGTGGAGAGGACAGGCTGTGCTGTGTCTGTGTTACCGAGGCTACACCGTCACTGGAAGCTAAGCTAACGACCGGCCAAACAAACAGCTCGTGCCTGACGTTAGCTTCCACAGAGACAGCTAATCAGTCACCAGTGTGTGTCCCGGTGTCCTCACAGCCGTGGGTGCTGAGAGGACAGCCTTTGGACCCGCGGGGTGCTCGCCCGTCCTTACAGCAGGTGCGGTACCGTCAACCTCCCCAAAGCCCCGGTTACAGACTCACGGTGTTCCGCTTGACCGGGGCTGCCCGGAGCCTTACCGAAGCACGATCCGCTTGTCTGCCCGAGGCTGCCGCTATCTTGCTGAGCGCGTTAACAGCGAACACAGAGGCATTGGTCTACATATACAAACCGCTCCCGCAACAAAAGCCCCACCTTCCGGAAGTACAAGCTGCAAACGGCAGGATGTGACGTAATCAGCCTGACTGCCAGCGTTTACTTGGATTTCTAACTGGACAGGATTACTACTAATAAAAAAAAAATTACTACTAATAATTATGAATTATGAATTAATAATTTTAAATAAATAACAAAAAACAGTTCAGTGTAACAGAGTAGTGTAAAACTAGCACAGTTACTGTCTATGAATCCTCGGAGTTAATACTCAAAACATGTTGTAGGAACTTTTAAAGACGACCAGGTTTCTGTGACGTGACACCGCAGGGAAAATAAACAATACTCTGAATTCAGTTCAGTTTGATTTATACGCCACCAAATCACAACAGCACGAGCCTTACGGAGCTTTGTATTGTAAGGGAAACCCCACAGCTAGCACACGAACCCTGCGATGGTTGTGTACAGTGACGGTGCTCCAGCAGCAGCTTCAAGAATAAGATTATCAATATTATGATCTACAATGAAAACAACAAGTACTTCATACTGACGGATGTGAGGTAGTGCGAAATGTTACATAAACCAATGTGAAAATCATTTTTAACATAAAAAAATAAATAAAAATAAGACGGATTGTGGAAAAGCAAATTCTTGTGAATATTAGAGCAAAACTCAAATAAATAGCTCTATAGCTTTAACACTTTAAATATGAGAAACAGACTTGTGTGGAGTCTTGTGTCCTGACAGGTGTGTTCACCTGTTACAAAGAGAAGAGGTTTCCGAGGACGGTGGGAAGGACTTCCTGAACCGCTCTTTCTCGCAGCGTGATTGGATAATTCTCAGGGAGGAGGAGCTCTGCTGACCGGACCGGAGCAGTTGTGATTAGTGATGTGCGATACCACTGATTTCCTTTCCGATCCGATACCAAGTAAAATTCAGGGTGGTATCGACGATACTGATACTTTGTGCAAAAACTTACTTTATTTATTGTATCTTTTATTGTATCTCACATTATAGCATCATCATGATTACAGGACATCATATTACTTGCTCTTATCACTTAATAATGCAGAATTCATCATATAGAAATAAAAAACCTGAAGTTGTGGCTATTTGAACACGCTGCCTGCCTGCAGCACTAAAGGACTAAAGGAGAGACGTCTGTCTCGCCCTAGCAGCACCTGTCCCTCTCCTCTTCAGTTTGCCTCAACATACGCTCGTCATATTCTGTGATCTGATTTCCTGTGAGGTATCTCACGAGGTTAGTGGTCTTGCCACATGTATTGCAAACCACATCTCGGCTGTTTGTGGAGGTAAAATACGTCTGCACGTAACTCCAATTACACTCAGCCATTGTTGCGAGTGCGCACGCCAGGGGCTGGACACAGTTATACAGCCGTATTTTGCACATGACTATGAAAGGCAGAAGAGGAAGTAGTTCCTTCCACTGTTGACAATCCAAATGATATAGTTTCTTTCCACTGTGTTCCTGTTAATGATAAACTACAAATTTACCCTAAATGACTAAAATATCGATATTTTAACGTGAGAATCGATTCTAGAACATAAATGACTGATATCGGAGGAATCGATATTTCAGTATCGATCCGCACATCACTAGTTGTGATTGTCCATGATGGAGGACGGTGTGTTTAGTGAACTGCGGCCCCTCACTGACTCAAACACCTCCAGATTCTGACCAATGAGGTTCCAGCTTGGTGGACTAGTTTGCTGATGCTGCTACAGACGGACAGAAGTTCTCCAGCACAAACGGAAGGACCTGAGGTTCCTCACAGAGTCCAGTCGGCTCATCCCCTTCACTGTTGGTCCTCCAGTCTGTGATTCACAGAAACGCCCACTGAGACATAATATTAAGAACAAGTGTTGTAGCTCAGACATGCCAGATCAGCAGTTCCATGACAATAAAACCACCTGCTGTCAGTGAACCCTGACCTCTGGCTAAATACTAGCCAAAGTAAGAATAAAGAGAGCGTCCCAGACATGTTTTGCCTTTTACAGAAACTCAAAATGTGAGTTCTCCTGTCCTGTCGTAGAAGAAATGTTTTATTCTGAGACACAGGAGCAGCACCGCCATGTCTTCCTACATATTGTTAGAACAGAGATGATGATTTTTTTTAAAGATGCATGGCTGATGCTGTGAAGATAAAATCCAGGTGTGATGCTGAGACTCAGTCCTGTTAAAGCGGATGTTGCAGCCGACCTTAAGCTCGTCTAGTCGAACGAGCCAAAGCAGAGGCAGTGCAGCTCTTATTGCAGTGTAATGGGCACTGTGCCTCTTGCAAAAGTGTGTATAGAAAATGAATGAGTGGATGGAAACTGCACGACGGGGACTTTTGCAGACCACGTTTATGGAGGTGGCAATAAAATGTCAGTGAGCTCTCTGGGCCGGTTCTCACTGAGGTTTGTAAACCACTGTCTGTGCTCACACTTTTTAATCCTTCTCTTTATTCTCTATTCATCCGAGAAAACTGATACATGAGACAGTTTTCTAAAATAAAGGCAAAGATGAGATACAGTGGGGCAAAAAAGTATTTAGTCAGCCACCGATTGTGCAAGTTCCCCCACCTAAAATGATGACAGAGGTCAGTAATTTGCACCAGAGGTACACTTCAACTGTGAGAGACAGAATGTGAAAAAAAATCCATGAATCCACATGGTAGGATTTGTAAAGAATTTATTCGTAAATCAGGGTGGAAAATAAGTATTTGGTCACCTCAAACAAGGAAAATCTCTGGCTCTCACAGACCTGTAACGTCTTCTGTAAGAAGCTTTTCTGTCCTCCACTCGTTACCTGTATGAATGGCACCTGTTTGAACTCATCATCTGTATAAAAGACACCTGTCCACAGCCTCAAACAGTCAGACTCCAAACTCCGCCATGGCCAAGACCAAAGAGCTTTCGAAGGACACCAGGAAAAGTATTGTAGACCTGCACCAGACTGGGAAGAGTGAATCTACAATAGGCAAGCAGCTTGGTGTGAAAAAATCAACTGTGGGAGCAATCATCAGAAAATGGAAGACATACAAGACCACTGATAATCTCCCTCCATCTGGGGCTCCACGCAAGATCTCATCCCGTGGGGTCAAAATGATCATGAGAACGGTGAGCAAAGATCCCAGAACCACACGGGGGGACCTGGTGAATGACCTGCAGAGAGCTGGGACCAAAGTAACAAAGGTCACCATCAGTAACACACTACAACGGCAGGGAATCAAATCCCGCAGTGCCAGACGTGTTCCGCTGCTGAAGCCAGTGCATGTCCAGGCCCGTCTGAAGTTTGCCAGAGAGCACATGGATGATACAGCAGAGGATTGGGAGAATGTCATGTGGTCAGATGAAACCAAAGTAGAACTTTTTGGTATAAACTCAACTCGTCGTGTTTGGAGGAAGAAGAATACTGAGTTGCATCCCAAGAACACCATACCTACTGTGAAGCATGGGGGTGGAAACATCATGCTATGGGGCTGTTTTTCTGCCAAGGGGACAGGACGACTGATCCGTGTTAAGGACAGAATGAATGGGGCCATGTATCGTGAGATTTTGAGCCAAAACCTCCTTCCATCAGTGAGAACTTTGAAGATGAAACGAGGCTGGGTCTTCCAACATGACAATGATCCAAAACACACCGCCCGGGCAACAAAGGAGTGGCTCCGTAAGAAGCATTTGAAAGTCCTGGAGTGGCCTAGCCAGTCTCCAGACCTCAACCCCATAGAAAATCTGTGGCGGGAGTTGAAAGTCCGTGTTGCTCGGCGACAGCCCCAAAACATCACTGCTCTCGAGAAGATCTGCATGGAGGAATGGGCCAAAATACCAGCTACTGTGTGTGCAAACCTGGTAAAGACCTATAGTAAACGTTTGACCTCTGTTATTGCCAACAAAGGTTATGTTACAAAGTATTGAGTTGTATTTTTGTTATTGACCAAATACTTATTTTCCACCCTGATTTACGAATAAATTCTTTACAAATCCTACCATGTGGATTCATGGATTTTTTTTTCACATTCTGTCTCTCACAGTTGAAGTGTACCTCTGGTGCAAATTACTGACCTCTGTCATCATTTTAGGTGGGGGAACTTGCACAATCGGTGGCTGACTAAATACTTTTTTGCCCCACTGTATACACAAATTATATTATTGTTTATATTCAGAGCTCACATCGTTAAAATTTAGACTTTGCATGGTTTCTCTTTTTCCCCAGTCTGGGTGATTTTCTGCCTTCGTTGTTCCACTGCAGGCCTGGCTGAGGAGTGCACGGCACCATTACTCCATCAGCTTTTTCCCTCCTGTGGAGGTAATGATGTGATTAATTTAACACACCTCAGAGTACAAATGTTGACAATCCCACAGCTGCGTGCTATAAAAAAGCAGAGCCTTTAAACATTTATGGGCACAATTCCTCTTTTGCTATTAAGGTGTGAGGAAAATAAATTGAAGAACAGTAAACTGGGAATACAGACCTTTATACCCGCCCTGGAGAACCACCTGCAAAAATATATATTTATCTGCAGCGCCGACTCAGCCGTGTAGAACCAGCTCTTTACAATTATGCTATTAAACACGTCCCAGCTGACAGAAGACGACCGCGTGGTCTCGCTACACTGACCCGAGGTGCACGCGCCGCAGACGCCGCGCTGCACGCGCCTGATAATGATGCTGAAAATGGTAAAAGTGGATCTATTTCAGGTAACAGTCCGCCAACACTGGACAATGGAGGGGCTGTGTCTAAGTTAAGGTGAATGAAGACCTGGAAATATAAATTCATCTTATCACAGCAACACTTTGTAAAACATGAAAGCTACACATGCACAGTCTGTTTGATCTTAATGGGATATTCACGTGTTTACAGACGCAGACTGGAGGTTTGTGCTGCCTCTGCTGTTTATTTTGATGTTAAGCCTTCACATGCATACTGAGTATAGCTGTAACCAGCTAACATGTAGGTGAAAAACTTCACTCCAGACTTTTGAGCTTTGCACTCAATCACAGAATCGCTCAAAGCTGCAAAATCAAGTCTAAACCGAGGGTCATCTCCCAGTTTAGACTCAGTGGGGCTTTGAGCCGTCACGCCAAAAACTAAAGAAACCAGTTTAGACTCGAGAAACAGAAAGAAGCCTGGAGAAAGATCAAGTAGACTTAAAGCACAAGCTCAGGTCAGATGAGATGAAACTAGAGACGGTGCTTATGTCTTGACGAAGAAGGAAGGAGTCCAAAGAAAACCCCACAGTGAAACTCGGCAGTGGGAGTCCTGTGCATCTGGAACTGGGAATCTCGTCAAGGAGAATCATGGAGAAAACACTCTGCAGCAAAACTGTGTCTGGGTCGTGGCTTTGACAAAGACCTCGAACATGTGTCACTCCTGATGTAGACCGACCTCCAGAAGAGTTACTGGCCGGCACAAAGACACGTCTGCAGGGAGAACTGAAGACCGTCAGCTGTAGAGGAGCGCTCGTGATCCGGGACTGCGCAGTAAAAAGGCAAAAGTGCAAAGAAATGCTACAAAATACTGAGAGACCTAACTGACGTAGGTTGTTTATTTTATTATTTATTAACATTTAGCATTAGTCCAAGGTTATCGATATTACATTTAAGAAGAACAGCAGGCCTGTGTGGTGATTTTGGTGAACAGGAGAAAGTTCCCTAATGTTACAGAAGTATTACTTTTTATTTAAATGATAAATGAGACAAGTGGAATCAAGACTAACCTTCTGCCTCAGCTCAGTTTCTGCTCTCATACATGATGCAGACCTTTACGATTTTCCTCCTGCACCTCTTCCTCACCTCCAGGCTGTGAAAAATAAAAGAGTGGACCCTGACAAACCCAGAAAGTTAAGTATTGTGTTCAAATAGATCTGGCAGTTTGATGTGAGACTGTAACTCAGCCCAGTGAAGCTCTGACGGAGATGAAAGCCGCAGCGTTGGTGCAGATGGGACGACTCCATCTTCTTTGGCAGGTGATGATGAAACATAGTGGCTGTAACAAAACAAACTTTTTAGCTTGTGTGCCGGCTGCTGGTGTCAGAGCAGGACCGGTGCCCGTCTGTCTGCTAACAGAAGCCACTGCAGGCTCTGAGACGCCTCCAGCACAGACTCATTCCTGCTGACACCTGAGCCGTCTCACGCTGCTTCGGCCGCGGGCCGTAGGATGAAAGAATTATTCCGTATTCCCAAAGATGAATCGAGCCTGGAATTTGTCTGTGCGCTGATCCTCGAGCCCACCAGGGGGAGCCAAATACACCAACTACTGTAAAAGCCTTGCTCAGATCTGTAGTGCGTGACTTCGAACATTATTAAAAACTGGCACAGCTGCACAAACGGATTTAAATTTCCTTCAGACAGACAGAAGAAGCACGTAAACATGCTGCCACTGCATGCATGCTTCAAACCATAAGCACAGGCTTCAGTCTGCATGCTCATTAAATAAGCATTCTACTCACACAGTCATATTTCAGCTCCATCAGTTAATTTATTTTCTCTTACATTTGATTTCACACATTCACCGTATCAGGTGTCTAATACTGGGTTGGGTTCATTCATCATGGCTCTGCTTTGAGACTGCAGCCAACATCCTTCAGGCAAGTTCAGGAAACCAGCTCGGCTGGACCTCAGCAGCGACGCTCGCTGTGATCTTTAACCGTTGACGTGCTGTGCATCCACAGATGCTTTACTGCATATCTTGATGCGAACCAGCGGTTACACGTGTGTATGCGAGCAGCTGGAACAGGCGTACCTAATGAAGTGGCTGGTGAGTGTGTGTTCCATGCGTACCCAAATTAAAACAGAATCTTTTAGTCTGGGGGGGTTCAGTTGTTTCCGTGCTTTATAGCTTTTAATGAGAGACACATTAAACATGGCGAGCACAGCTTCTGCTTCCAAACCTGCTCAGACTGTTCGTCTGTCTGTGACCTTAAATCGGCGCTTTCGGGCTTCACAGACCTGCAGAGGCAAAAATGTCATCGATGTCATCGTGAGTGACTGTGCTCCGACACGTCGCCTCTCGAGCGGTCCCGCTTCTCAGGTCGTCCCCGCTAAGTCGAGCTCGTGTCTGTCGTCCCGCCTGCTCTTTCCTTTTTACGCCGCCTCTCATCATAAGCCTCCTGAGAGTATGAAAACGAATTCTCCCGTGGACACGTCTCCTCGAGGCGAGCGAACGTAAGGTCTTTGGCGCTGATCCTTCTGGAGATGAAGCCCAGCAAGCTTCCTTTTTGAAGGTTTGCAGCTTCCTCTGGACGCTGAAGCACGAGAAGAGAGAACATGAGCACCTCTGCAGAACGCTAAAGGAAGACTTCCTGAGAAAGTGTCGCTCTTACTTGTAGCCCGCTGCCTCCAGGCATTTCATCTGCCGGCACTTTAACTGCAGGAAGGTTAAAAGGCGTTTTTCCTTTCCCATCCTCTGGGATTTGCACCAGCGAATCATCTCGTCCACACGGATCTCCAGGTGTGAGAAAGAAGCAGCATCTCTCACCTGCTTCTGGAACTCGTGTCTCCTGTCAGCTCTGCTCGTTTGTTTGGGCGTCGACTTGCCCTCGAGTCGCAAGAAGAAGAAGTAAATACGTGAACATTAGAAACAGTAAAAGTAGAGACGAGTCACGTGCTTGCTCACATACCTCTGTGAAAGTCCTGCACAGCTTGAAAAAAGACTTCCTGTCTGCTGCGAGGCCGACGCCTGGAGAAATATCAGGGATGTGAGTGGGGATGTGGGGAGGTTCACGTCTCACTGAGGTCACGTTTACGTTGGGAAAAACAGCGCATGAATGCAGACTACCTCTTATAACTGCAACGCCGAGGTCTTCTTTGAGCTTTCTTTTCTGCGCGCAGGTCTTCTTGGCTTCAGCTGTAAGTTTCTTCGCCGCCTGCTTCTTTTCCTGCCGCGCTCTGCTGTGCGCCGCAGGCTTGGTCAATAACAAAGCATCAGAGGGACCGAGGAACTGAGCCAGATCAGCTGGCAGGGAGAAGTCTGTGAGGAAGGGCATGGGCTGGACTCGGGCTACGTCTCTGAGAAGCTCCAGGAGCTGCCGGTAGAGGCCGGACAGGGCGAGCAGCACGCCACGGAAAATCACCCTAAGAACGCACGAAATACAACGTGTTAACACTTTCTGCAGACTTAGTGCGCTCTCTCTCTAAATGCACGTATGCTGCAGAAAACGTCCTGACCACAGACGGCTGAGCATGCTGGTTATCACCACGTTCAGGATGACAAACTCCTCCCACTTCATCTGCTGCTTTGCGAGTCTGAAACAAGCAGCTGTTAAGGGGAAACCTGCAGAGGGCACGAGAGTCAGACTTGGTTCAGATGAAGACATCCGCACGTCGTTCACGCGGAGATCGATGCCGAGTCTGAGAACAGAACGGCCTCACAGAAGGATACGTGAAAGCTCTGCTGCAGCGACGCAGCGTGCAGCTCGTCAGCCGAGCGGCCCCCAGCACTTTGAGACAGATCCACTCCAGCGTGGGCTGACTGGGAACGACACACTGGCCGTCCTTGATGCTCAGCTGCCTAAAACACACAGACACACACCACTGCAGACTGTGGCAGAAACTGACATCCACACAGAATTTCACAGTTTGAATCTCCGTCCTATCTTCTATAAAGACGTCCGTCTGCATGCTGAGAGGACTTCATTCATGCAGTTGCCCACCCCCGGTCTACTGTGGGAATAACACACATTTTCATTGTGCACTCAGTAAATAAAAGCTGAGTGGACTGGTTCATGAATCCGACCTGGTCACAGCAGTGAAGGTTCACGATGAAGACCTGCTCTGCACGTCACACACTTCACAGCGAGCCGCAGACTTACCTCTGGATCCTGTTCGGACACAGATCTGACAGTTCCTGAAGAGCAGCATCGAGCTTCATGTTCTTCAGCCGGTTCACACACTGCTCCACCTTTGAAGGAAGGAACATGTAGGTTAGTCTGCTAGTTGACTAAGGCCAGAACACCGGCCTAGTGAAAACATCTGGATGATCTCCGAGACTTCTGGGAGAACATCCCGTGGCCTGAGGAGACAAAAGCTGAACGTTGGGAGGTTTGAGTCCCGTTACATCTGCATTAAACAAAAAGAGAACATCACAGCAGCAGTCGGACACGGCGGTGGGAGCGTGATGGTCTGAGCTGCTCTCTAGGAGAATGTGGGCCCGGCAGTCATGCAGCAGCAGCAGTTCCACCTCTGATTGGCTCTGAAGACAAAATGAAGGTTCTGGAGCGTCCGAGTCAAAGTGTGGACTTAATCAGACCGAGGTGACCATAGACAGGCGCTCATACTGGAAAAGCCTCCAACTATTCAGAGTGGGACAAAGTTCCTCCACAGAGACGTGAAACACTCACCATCAACACACCACAAGGTGTGGACTGCAGTGCTGCTGGGCACAGATACCTCGTCTCCCTTGATAAATACAATCAGCATTAAAAACTGCAGTTTATTTTCACTCAGGTTATCTTTGTATTAAAACTCGTCTGAGGACATCGATCAGTGAAGGACAAACAGCAGTCTGTGGAGGCTCACTGATAACTTATGCTGGAGGTCTTTCTGATGCTGTGACTCTGGAGACATTCAGGGAGCTGTCAGGCTGTCAGTCTGATTACAGCTGTTTTATTGTCCCCAGAGTCACAAACACGCTTTCATCCTGTTAATCATGATTTCCGTGTCTGTGATGTTACATGTAACAACAGTCTGAGGCTGAACCTGGATCGGGGTGAACTGGGGATGCATCGATCCCATATACAGCACCGGCCTGATCCTGACCTAAATGACTTGATCAGATATCAGGAGAAATAAAAAGTGTAGCCCGATCCTTTAAATATTACAAAAGTGCCTCATGAAGCTTGCGACACGGCATAACCGAGGTCGTGACCTTAGCACGTCGGAGCAGTATGTGTCATGCGATAGAGCGGTCGTTGTGTGCGAGACCTGTCGGCGGCGTGGAGTTACTTCAGACTGAAAGAAGAAAATAGGAAGATGTGGTAGCAGCGTTGGGAACTTTAACACCACAAACATGATTAAACACTCACAGAAATACCAAATACAGGAGCACACAGAGTTTATCCAGTGACTCAGTACAGAGTAGGGATGGGTACCGGTGTCCGGTGCCATGATGGCACCGGTTCTGACATAAACGGTAGTAACCAGACCGAAAAGCAGCGCACATTTCGGTGCTTTATTTCGGTGCTTTTTTTTCCTGAGCTGTGACACACTTTAGATTCTAGCCAATCATTTTACGTTTCCGAGGATAGTAGGCGGGGCCAGGTACGTACGTTCTGTTAGAGCAGAGCTACAGATTAAAAACGCCCAAGGCCAAGAGGTCAAAAGTCTGGCTGTACTTCACAGCAAAAGATGCAAACTCAGCAGCAACAAGTGCTTTAAGCTGATACTGTGATGCTGTCAAAGGAGGTAACACCTCGAATCCGATAAAACACCTGGCGACGCATAGCGTTTTTTTTAAAAGCCCAGAAATGCGCCGTATTTGATAGCTTGCTGCGAGACCTCACACCGAGCACATCTACTGCGGGTGTGGTGCCTGTTATCGGACCGGAGTTAGCAACATCCCCCAAAAACCCGAAGAGGAGAGTCCTGGCCCCTAGCCCTGCCAGTGTAGCAGAAATGATGAGGATGATGATGCAGCAGCAGCCGTTCTTCTCTGTGTGAGTAGCTTCATGTTGTTCGTGTGTAATTTACGTTGAGTACACTAACCACGTTATTACATTAATGCATGTAAGGTGAACTAGCAAACATCATCATAGCTACATGCGGCTGTCTTCTTGTTTGATGGCAGATACTCCCTTCACCCTGGCCAAAAAGGCTAAAATGACCAAAGAAAAAGTGGAAAACAGCTGAACATGAGAGAAACTTTTTGGACAAAGTGTGTTTTTTCCATTGTTTAAGCACTGCTTCCAGCCAAGAGTGATGCCATATATGCCCCATAGCTGCAGAAAAGGCTAACATTGTTATCTTTTTACAAAAAAACAGCTGAACATGAGAGGTTTTTGGACCAATTTTGTGTTCTCCATTCTTTAAGAACCGGTTTGAGCACTGTTTAAGCACCGGCACCGTTTCAAAAGTACCGGTTTGGCACCGATATCGGATAAAACCTAAACGATACCCATCCCTAGCACAGAGTTCATCCAGGCCTCCAACACGAAGCAGAAAAGTATCAACAAACGCTTTTGGAAAACATTCAGAGTCGCGAGAAACTCCGTCCAGAAAGCAACAAAGCAAAGCTGATAACAGAGAAAACTGCTGAATTTGTTGTACTCGATGAGCACAACACGTGTTATTAATCTGTCTCTTTATCCTGTCTTCCTTCTGTCACCCCAACCAATCACAGCAGATGGCCCCGCCCCTCCCTGAGCCTGGTTCTTCCGGAGGTTTCTTCCTGTTAAAAGGGAGTTTCTCCTTCCCACTATGGGCGATCGTGGCTCAAGAGTTGGGAGTTCGCCTTGTAATCGGAAGGTTGCCGGTTCGAGCCCCGGCTCTGACAGTCTCGGTTGTTGTGTCCTTGGGCAAGACACTTCACCCGTTGCCTACTGGTGGTGGTCAGAGGGCCCGGTGGCGCCAGTGTCCGGCAGAATGTGTAAAGCGCTTTGGGGTCCATAGGGACTAGTAAAGTGCTGTACAAATACAGGCCATTTACTTGCTCATGGGGGGGTTTCTCTGTATGTATTACTGTAGGGTCTACCTTACGATATAAAGCGCCCTGAGGCGACTGGCGCTGTATAAATAAAGCTGAACTGCATTTCTGTTGTGGGAAATGTCAGTTTTTGGTGCTTAAAGGAGCATTGTGAGCCTCGCTACGTGCTGCCAAACCAACGTTTCATTAAAGGCATAATCAATCAATCAATCAAGTTGTTGAATACAAACATTATTTTGTGATGATATTGGGCTTCATGTGTTTTTCAGAACTTTGCATAAAACTGCGTTTTGAATGTTACTTTAAATACTTAGATCTAAAGTTGGAATTTGTAATGTTCTTGGATACCGGTGATGACGTTTGTTTCAAAGCTTTAAATAAAAAGATCAGCTGAGCTGAGCAGTATTTTGGCTGCTTACAAGTATAATAGAAGAACTTTAGTCGTTTTTTTGCTTTTTTTAAATCTTAATATGACATTTATGACTAAAAGCAGACTACACCGGAGTCATATCGGTATCCAAATCTATGACATCAGTATAGGACATACAGACGTGGCGTCATCCATCCCTACTGTGAACGACAGGCTGCCTGGCTGCATGGAGGAGGAACATGTTGTCGTCGTGTTGGTGTTGTTCCCACATCATCATGAAAATGTTGTTCCAGGATCAACATTGCAAGTGACCAATCACATTGTTGTGACGTTATTCTTTTGCGCGCCAAGCCATTCGTGCATTTATGAAATTCCAATGTTGCAAGGACAATATCAGTTCTGCTCAGCGTTTATTAAAGGGTTACGGTCAGGGTCAGGGTCCGTTGATCGGCGGACAGAGGCGGTTTCTCGCAGCTTAAGTACAGTTTGTTGTTTTACGGCGGTTTTTCCCGAAGTCGCAAAAGTATGACGTCACAACATTCTGATTGGTCACTTGCAATGTTGATCCTGGAACAACATTTAGTATGTTGATCTGGGAACAACACCAACACGACGATATCACCTGTACGTGACTCGGAGCTCAGGTGGGCGCGCTCCGAGTTGCCCTGAGCTCTTAATGAACACACCCACGGTTGCCCTGGAGACAGCGCTCACCTGCTTCAGTGCCTTGAACGTCTTGTTGCCCCGGTAGCTGTTGTTCAGGACGTACAGCAGCTCGTACAGCAGCCTGACCTCCGTCTGAAGCATCTCACTGCGGAGCAGCTTCAGCACATTTTCGCGCTCCGTCAGCAGCGTTTCAACGTCTGCAGCTGCACAAACACAAACACCATCATCATCGTCACCTCACAGCCACGCGGCGCCGAGTCCTGGCTCTCCCACGTGGGTCGCATGCGGCGTGTTATTTCGCACACAGCACGTCAGTGACCGCGCGCTGCGGCTCGTACCTGTCTGTGCGGTGAAGGGCACGCGGACAGCGGACACGGCGCTGGGAAAAGGGACGTTGACTCTGTTCCAGAGCTCCACGGCCATGCTCGAGTCTGCCTGAAAAACAAAATACAACCCGGAAGTCCCACAGCCAATGGCGTACGAGCACGCGTAAACGTCATCGTCTGTGTTAAAGGCACCGCAGTCGCCGAGTGTGCTCTGCTAAAGTGCTTACAACACAAATGATTCCTCCGAACTGATCAGAACAAAAGCGTAGAAACAATAAAGGCCAATAAATATTAAAATTATGAAAACACAACGAGGATAATGACAATAAACGTGTTTTAATAGAGCAATGGATTATTAACACAGCATTTGTAAACATATACGTTATTCCTGTTTGCACACAATAACAGAACAATTATTTCATCCAAACAAACACGGTGAGGGTCAAAACTGAAGCCCCTGAAAAAGTGACCTTTATACTGAAACACAGCACAAACCACCGCTGTGCCACAAGGTGCTGTCAGGAGAACAGCACTTTATTGTGACAGTACAGGCAGGAAGCAAGCACTCAACTTCAAACCGAGGGTCGTCTTCCACTTTACACTCATAGAGGAACTTCAGCGAGGGGTCGATGTGAAAACCTCCATGTGAAAGAGTTTCTTTCAGCTCCTCTCACAAACCGACAGCATCATCATCACCTCGGTGTTCTCCTTTGTGCTGCAGGCGGCCTCTGAGGGGCTCCTCCTGACCCATAAACCAGGACTGTTCTTATGTAACACATTAAGGCTCCTTAATCCCAAACAAACGTCTTCTCGTGTACAACTCCTGAACTGTTTGTTGCATAGTTTTTAGTGCTGCTAAAGGTAGTCTGTGCAGCAGAAAAACACCTTTAAACTGTAATGAGTTATGACTTCAGATGAATACGGAGAGGAAGTGTGAGGAAGAGTAATGTCTGCACAGACTGATTTATCAACATTCATCACCATGTTGCACATTAAGATTCGGGTTTCACATACTGTGCAGAATAAAAGCTCCCCATGTGTTCACACAGACGCCCACTGTGAAATACTGCCATCGTTTATTGGAACAAAAGCAACAGATTTAACGAGAGGACATTAAGGGGCCTGTGCCGCCTGATTCCTGATCCAAGAGATGACTTTTAGGTTCACTTCCTCCATCACGGACACCTCAGAACGGCCTTTCACCTTCAGTCCATGGCTGCCTCCTCGTAGCCACAAAATCTCAACCTGAGCTTTCATTTCTTTCACCGTCGTGTCAAAGTGAACCTGAGCGAGGACACAGAGCAGAGTGAGCACTGCAGCACGTCCCAAGAGCAAGAGCAATGTCCCGTTACACAGATGCATCAGAACTACATGCAAACAGAACAGCAACAATGAGCACACAGGACAGTCTTCTAATAGTTTAATAAGGAAACATGCATTAGGTATGAATCTCATTCCTCACCCTGTCACACATGTCGTCCTCAGTGCCCGACACAAACAGCACACGCGTGTGCGCCGGCAGCACCCTTAGATCTTCGCTCCGTTGGCGGTGTGCATGCGTCTGTCCTGGGGGGTGCAGGGGGAAAGACAAGCAGATCACACCCTCCACCGCGGCCTCGGATTCCTCGCTCAGTCGCCTAGCTAAAGCTGCAGCCGCACGACACCCCATCGACCTGCCTGTGGAAACGTCACAGTGTTCAAGGACTCCCACTCAGTTATTTCTACACTGCTGCATGTCCTCGTCTTCACTTGAAACATAGATGGAGGTTCAGAGGTGAAGATGTGGTATCTGGTGATGTCATCAGTTAAAGGCAGGCGCTCATGGACAGAGTGCGGTCTTTAAGCCCCGGACATCAACGTGGGGTCTGTTTTACCACATTAACATACTTCCCACCAAAGTAAACTGTTAAGGTACAACAACACTTTGCAAACTGAAGTACGTGAGACAAAATGACCCGACAGCGTTTCTGCTCTGAGCTCTTCCTCTTTTGTTTTGAACATCTTAAGGCTTCTTACCTCCAAAAAAGACGCGTTTTACTGTGAACCTCTGCAGTGATTTCAGGTAGTCCTACAGGTGGAAACACGTTAAACAGCACACGTTACATCATACTGGTGCTCTACAAAAAACGTGTAATATTGCACGTAAAGCAGTGAGTGCAGTTTTGACTTTAACACGTACCCACACAGCAGTGTACGCCTTCAGCCTGTGAGCCAGGTTCAAACCTTTGCATGTAAAGCGCAGGCACAGGAAACCGTGTGATGCCAGCTGGTGAGCCAGAGAAACCAGCTGACTGAAGTTCATGTCTCCCCCGGCTCCGTGCGTGAGGATCACGGCGGTGTGAGCGTCCGACATGGCGGCAGGGACGCACAGGGCAGCATCTAAAGATTTGGCCCCAAACGGCACCTTCACCGCCTCCTGAAAGCCAGCGAGCACCGATTCAGCACCTCACAGCCAACCATTCTCTCTCCCGACCTTTACAGAGCAGTGAATGGTAAATGGCCTGTATTTATATAGCGCTTTACTCGTCCCTAAGGACCCCAAAGCGCTTTACACATCCAGTCATCCACCCATTCACACACTGGTGATGGCAGCTACATTGGAAGGGGACATCCACATTAAGGGGACGGCTGTGGAGCGTGTGAGCAGCTTCAAGTTCCTGGGAGTCCACATCTCCGAGGATCTCACCTGGACGACCAACTGCTCCAAGCTGGTCAAGAAGGCTCACCAGCGCCTCTTCTTCTTGAGGACTCTGAGGAAGAACCACCTGTCCTCAGACATCCTGGTGAACTTCTATCGCTGCACCATCGAGAGCATCCTGACCAACTGTATAACAGTCTGGTACGGGAACTGCTCTGCCTCGGACCGGAAGGCGTTGCAGAGGGTCGTGAAAACTGCCCAGCGCATCGCCGGAGCACCACTTCCTGCCATAAAAGATATCTACAGGAAGCGGTGTCTGAAAAGGGCTGGGAAAATCATCAAAGACCCCAGTCACCCATCACATGGACTCTTCACCCTCCTGCCCTCTGGGAGGCGCCACAGGAGCCTCCGGACTAAGACCACCAGGTACCGGAACAGCTTCTTCCCCACAGCTGTCAGACTCCTGAACTCTGCCTCCTGACATCTGACCCACGTTAAACTCATGGACTGAACATACACACCCCCACAATGGACAACTGTACCCTCAAACACAATAATAACATGGAGTGAACCACCACTCACAACCACTAGCACTTTATATAGCCTCTGTAGAAACTATCTACACCCTCACTTATCTTAACTGCACTACTGTATAGCTCTGTGTAAATAATCATTCTGTACATTCGATAATCTTTAATCCTACAACTGTTTACAACTTGCATAGTTCCCATTTCTGTATAGCTGTATATCTCAGATTCTGTAAAGTTATTTATTTCATATTCTGTATAGTTTTTCATATTTATATCCTGTTCATAGCCTGTACATAGCTTGTACTCACTACAGCCTGTACATACTTATAGTTATAGAATATTCACAACATACTTCATACCGTGTACATTATAACATACCATAATAGACCCATTTCTGTAATATACTTACATATCTATACTATTGCTAATATATATTGTAATATATCTATATCACTAAAGCACTTCTGGATGGATGCAAACTGCATTTCGTTGCCCTGTACCTGTGCATGTGCAATGACAATAAAGTTGAATTCTATTCTATTCTATTGTAGCCACAGCCACCCTGGGGCGCACTGACAGAGGCGAGGCTGCCGGACACTGGCGCCACCGGGCCCTCTGACCACCACCAGTAGGCAACGGGTGAAGTGTCTTGCCCAAGGACACAACGACCGAGACTGTCCAAGACGGGGCTCGAACCGGCAACCTCCCAACTCTTGAGCCAGTGAAGGTGATTACATGGTGATACTTGAAAAATCAGAAGTCTTATCTCAAGCTGACTCTGACTCACTGGTCCATCACATCCAGCAGATTACTGTAACACTCTCCAGATCATCAGCTCATTCATCCTCACACACACGTGACCACATTACTCCACACCACTTCCACACTGGCTCCCTGCGACCTTTACGATCCTTCTGATAGTTCATACAGCTCTCTGTGGTTTGGTCCGTGTCTCTAACCCAGTCACACCTGTCAGGTCATCAGCTGCTCCAGAGCCAGAGCTCGGGGCTGGAGGTGCTTCACTTACTGTGGTCCTGATCTTTGGAACCAGCTGCCTGCTGGTCTGAGATCAGTTCCAGCCACGCTCTTATTCAAAATCAGACTCGAAACCTTTGAATTCCCCGAGGCTTACACTTCCTGCTGCGCTCACTGCCTACAGGCTTTGTAACCTGCGCAGGTGTTTGTGAAGCACACCGAGCCCACAGGACGTGGCGCGCGCTAGCCTCTCGTGCACCCGTCCTCTCGGTGCTCCGGGCTCCGCTCCTGGTTCGAGTTCCGTTTCATTCTAACCTGACTCTGGTTTCTGACATGTTTGCTTTTTATTTTTCATATTTACCTCCAGAAACGTCTCCATCACAAGCAGCTTCTTCTCTGGAACACCGAGGACTTCAATACGTATTAGTGACACCTAGCGGGGAGGAGTGGTCACTACAGCGTCACCAAACCTGTATCTAAAGTACTTTTTATTAAAAAATAAATAAATGGTTTGAAATGTTTATGTTTCATTAAAATTATTTGTTTCAGATTGTTCGCTTTTTAATATATCTTTATCCAGTGGACGTACTGGAAACGCAGCATCATACTTCATAATGGTCAGTCTCTGTAACACTTCCCTTCCTTCCCAGTCATCCTGCACACTGGCACATTGTTGGATATTACTGACATCTGATCAATTGAAACATCACCCTATACTCTCTATCATGTTTCATACTTTCAGTTTTATCCATGTCTGAGCATCTTTGATTTTATACGTTTGATTTTATATATCAGGATAAATATCTCAGCAAAAATATCACTTTGTACAGGGCAGTGACTCCTCACCAACAGCGACTCAATGCTTTGTGGTTCAAATCTAAACCATGCAACAGGGTAATGGTCAGTTATAAACAGCAGCATTAACTTTATGACACTTCCGTTTGTTTACTTTTTCACAAGGATACGATTTTTATTTTAAATGTTTTCCGTTCTGTTTTATCCGTCAGGTAAACTGAAGGCGTGGCCACGGCTGATTTTCCAACAGGCACAGCGGTCAGCTGCTCAACCTCAGGGCTGACACTAAACCTCACTGAGTAAATAATCTGACATCAGAGAGAAAAACACGCTCTGAACACATTAAAAGCATTTATTGAAAAATAAGAATCAGATATTCAAACCATAGTCATACAATTGATTGGCACTTTAAAAGAAAAGGCTGTCAGTTATGAAGTGGGAGGAGCTCAGTCACAGTTCATCCTTCACCTGAAAAACAAACATGAAAACACTCCTGTTAGAACAGCACGTTGGTCCAAACGTTCACTCTAACGTGGCTTCTTGGTGGTTGCAGTGACGCCTCACGTACACCAGATGGCGCCACAGACTGTAGAATAATAAAACTATCCCAGATTTAACGTTGTTTCCTCTTCTTAACGTGCAAAAAGTAAAATAAGATCATTCGGATCTGCAGACAAGCTGCAGAGCAAACAAAGCATTTGGGTGTTTCTCACGTTTGTCCTGTGGCAGGAACATGGGAACAGGTCATCAGCAGGCTGCTCCACGACTTCCATGTCCTTCCGGATCTTCGGCTCGGTGACCTGGAGTTTGGCGTAGTCCTAGTTCGCGCGCATAAATATGACATGTGAGGGAAGTGCGACACATTTACATCGGTCCGAATGAAGAATGATCAGCATTGTGTCAGTGCGACGCAGCGCGAGCACAGTAAGACTGCGTGAGTAGTAACATTGTATACTTTTTCAGTCGTGCAGTAACTCTGAAACTGTAATCACATTACCTTGATCAGTATGTAGTAATAACAGAAGATGGTGTCCCCCATGAGGTGACTGCGGGCAAACTGCTGACCTGCGAGAGCAATTTTCTTTGCCTGAAAGAAGAAAACAAAATGACACCACCTTCACTCGTCATTAGTGAAACCAGCGAGGATCCAGTCACGTGTTCTCGTCACCTCTTCGTCGTGGTCACGCGCCCACTGGATCTTCTCCAGCAGGTCTCTCAGGTCTGCCCTGACAGGGATGTAGTGCTCCCACGCTCGAAGCTGCTTGTAGAAATGTTCGTAGTACCCAGAATCCTGCTTCAGGACCACGCTGTCCCCCGCCAGCAGGTACGGCAGCCGATAAGCTGCCACAGTGCCATCAATGTTGATTTGGTACTTGTACTGGTGATGCATGGACACAATGAAAACACACACATTAGCATAAGAATATCTGACGTAATAAAAGCGTTTTTATGGAATATAATTCATCTCACCTTGAAAAAGTCAAAAAACGAAACATGTTTGACGAGCGGCCCGTAGAGGCTCTCGTCGTGTTTGAAGAAGAAGAAATTAGTAAAGGCGGCGTCTATGATGTGCGGGTGAGCCCTCGAAAGCTTGACCAGCTCCAGGCGCTCCTGTCGGCTGTCCCGCCCCCTCCAGAAGGCGGTGGCGTTCTTCTCGGGCCACGGCGGCCCCGTGTTGGCCTGAACCGACATCATGTCCAGGCTCACCCTGTACGGCAGAGGACGTGCTGAATGTTACATCCTCTGCAGTTTGTGAGATCACTAACCTCACAGGTGAGGGTCCAACATTAAACAGCTCTCATCATCACACCTGCATTAAATATCAACTCAAACAGCAGCAAGGTGAGAGGAGGAAATGCAGGTTCATACTGCAGTCTGCTTACTGACGGCCTCAGTGATGGCAGAGCACGCGTACATGAAGAGGAGCAGGAACCAGGTGACCCTGAATCCTCCCTTAGTTATGCTGCAATAGACGTAGGCTGCCGGGGGATTCCCATGATGCACTGGGGGTTTCTTCTTCTCTCACTATGTATTAACAGACCTCTCTGCACTGAATCATATCTGTTATTAACCTCTGTCTCTCTTCCACAGCATGTCTTTATCCTGTCTTCCTTCTCTCACACCAACCAATCACAGCAGATGGCCCCGCCCCTCCCTGAGCCTGGTTCTGCTGGAGGTTTCTTCCTGTTAAAAGGGAGTTTTTCCTTCCCACTGTCGCCAAAAGTGCTTGCAGATAGGGAATCATACGATTGTGTTTTTGTCTGTATGTGTTATTGTAGGGTCGACCTTACAATATAAAGCGTCTTGAGGCGACTGTTGCTGTGATTTTGTGCTGTGTAAATAAAACTGAATTGAATTTACTGCCAGTTTCCGTGGTAACGTAGCAATACTTTAGCTGAATCCACACAGAGCTTTACCTCCCCATGGTCTCCAGGACGGACTCGGTCAGGTCATAGGTCGGCATGACGATATCTCTGGTGTTATTGGAGCCACACCAGGAGAAGATGGGATGAAGCTTCTCGGGAGGCTTCCTCTTCTCCAACGGCCAGTCACCGAGATTAACAAAGAACTCCACATCAGGGAGCCGCACCTGAAAATGTTTCATGATAATCATTACTGTTGCCACCGTCTGATCGCATATCTGCACTGATGATGACGATGATAACCAGCATGCACTGCACCAGTTGTGTCTGAACGTTTCATCCCTGATGCATCAACATATACAGACATTAAAATCAAAGTGTGTTTCTGGTCGTCTGAGCGACGGCTGAGTAAACGTAAACACGGATTACCTTTCTGGTGAGAGACAGCAGGACGGCATCCATAAAGATTCTAAACCCGACATGTTCCCCAAATGTCCTCACGTAGATCTAAAGACAACAGAAACACATTACAGAAAACAGCTGCTCACCAATCCAAGATTACCTTCACAGGTAATAGATTACACCGCTGCACAGGATTACAGGAGTCAGTGGCAGCTGAGTCGTTACTGCAATGATACAGTGACTTCAGTATTTCATTCAACTATAAAGAAAACAGACAGAGCTGTAAAATGATGCAGACATTAAAATAATTAAACAACTCGGCATGCTGGGAAATGTGGGAATGACTTTATTCCTTCTCGTTCATTTAAAGTGTTCAGATATGAAGTGAACACAGAGCAACAGAAACCCTGAAGCGTGACACTCGTCACATTCACCTCTGATAAAGGGACTCGGCTGCACTCACACACACAGTATGAAATGCAGTAGCAAAGTACTACTGTAGTAGTTTTTACTACTAAAAGCATCAATTTCACTTTACCACAGTCATACCTTTAGAGGGAACTAGTCATGGAAGCGGATACGTTCCTGAATATTCTCATGTAATGCGAGCAGTGTGTGAACCGGGCTTTAGACTCATCGCTATCACAGCAGCACTCATGCACACCTGGCTCTGCTCTTACAGGTGAGTCACACAGCTCCAGGGTCCAGGATGAAGGAACATTACCCTTCATATTCTTCCCTTCTACACTCACCTTTGGATCTGATGTGTGTCCAGAGGCCTACATGGTGTCGTGGTTTAAGAAGGCCTGGCTGGATGACTGAGAGGCCCACAAGCTGACCTTCTCAGCTTCCTCTCAGGTAAAACATAAACACCTATGATACGTCTGTGTTTGTTTCCCCAGGTGGAATCACCTTGTTGTCTTTGACGGTGTAGTGGCAGAGGCTCTGCCGCTGTCCGAAGCGCTGTGGGATCTCCTGTGCGTTACGATCTGGGTCGACACTCGGGTAAAAGGACAGGTCCCTCTCTATCTGTGCGAAGGACGGAGGGCAGTGCATGTGGGCCTCCCACGCAGAGCCGCTCTCCCGGGGACAGTCGCATCCCTCGTGATAGACCGGGCCTGCAGACGACAACACTGACTCATTAAGTTTCTGGATCCAGCAAAAACAGCAGGTGAAGACTCAGGATTGGAGCGTGAGCAGGAATCAAGTCCATGATGTCATTTATCAGAGTGAACATCGCAGCTTCACGGACCGCGCCCTACCTTTGAGAACAAACGGTGACTTGGCAACGTGCTCGTTCTTCAGCAAAACGTGGACGTGAAGCTCCGAGTAGGTGGCGTACATTCGGTAGCGGACCAGGAATGAGCCATCCCGACGATCCAGGACCTGGATCCAAATCCTGGTGAACTGCTCCACAGGAGACACAATCTTTACTTCAAAGGTTTTCTCACCAGGTGATGCAGTCAAACTGTGGGAGGAGGGAGAATACAAAGATATCTACTGCTGCTCAGGAGGACAGCATCTCATCTTATGACAACAAATACGAGCCGATGTTTACAAAGCAGCGGACTGAACCTTTGCCAGTTCATCATCGTATGGTTCATTTCAGCGCTCACTCACAGTTTATACTCTCTACATACAAGAAGGTTTAAAGTTTGCGTGTCACAGAAAACATCTGTGCCGTGGTGGTCTCCTAACAGATGTGTCTGGGTAACTTGGATCGTCACTCAGAGTAACAACTTGTGCACTGTTTTTTATGGTTGGGTGCACTTTTTGCACAGTCAGTGTGTCTGCACCAGCTCACGGTGCAGTAATGACTGTAGCAGGCATGATCACCACAGAGAGGAGGCACCTTTGATAAGCTCCTGCAACTGTGTGATGAAAAAGGTCATTGGAGGCCGTCTGACATCGTCCTGCCTGTGGTTTGTCTGTCATATCTGCCCTCACAGGTCAAAACTTCAGATTTAACACCACACTTTATTTTATATAGTGTTCTTTTGTAGTCATGCAGGTTTTTTTGGCTTATAAGTACAAATAGATAAGATAAAATGTTCTCTAAAGGTTCTCTTGAGCAATAGTTCTCCTGTTTTCTGAAGGTGTCTCAGTGTTTTTCTTTGGACACCCCATCAAAGGAGCTCTGATTCAAGCATAAAAATCCACCGAGCGATGGTCACACTTCACTGAAGCCTCATCAGAGAAGATTCAGTAAAGGACGGCTGAAGGGAAACAGGAGGAAAGGCTGAGGCTGAAAATGACACCAGAACTGGACTGAAGGTCAGAGGAACAGGTGTGATGGAGAGATGGATCCACATCATGGTCAGTGTGTACGAGGAGGTCAGGAGGAGGTCCAGCAGTGAGAGTCTGCAGCCATCTGTGAAGCACGGTGGAGGCTGTGTCATGGTTTCAGGTTCTTTGATAAACTGATGAATTACAGAGTCTGATCCACCACGCAGGAACATCTGGAAACATCTCTTTAGCATGACACTCGGACCTCAGCTCCACTGAAGCAGTGTGGGATCATCCTGACAGAGAACACAAGCAAAGGCAGAAACATCCGAGGAAGAGCTTTGACTGTCCTTCAGGAAGCCTGGAGAACAGTTCCTGAAGATCCTCACAGAGCTGCTCAGAGAGCTCAGACTGTGCTGAACAATAAAGCGGTCATACTAAATATTCACTCGGACGCGTTTTGCAATCACATAAACTCTTTCTTTGCTGCATTTCCATATTTATCAGCAAATTCGTGTCCCCTTTCTCTTCTAATATAAAGAACAGAGAGGTTTGACATGGCACTGGATATCTGATAGTGACACAGAGGAGATACGGAGGAGACTCAGAGACAGACGTGATTTTGCACACAGCTACATTCAGACCTTTGGTACTTCTGACTGTTAAATCACACCTGCGTGGTCACATGTGAGGTCTCCGGCTTGCACATGCGCATGATAATGAGAAAACCAGTGATGTGATTCTGACACCCCGATACGACAGTAAACTCCAGGCTCTGCAGCTGGAGTCGCATACCACAGGCCTCGCATTACTCACTTTTTCCCCGAGCTGTCCGCCGCCTGTATGTAGAAGAATCGAGCTGGAAGGACGACGCTAGCCTCCAGCCCGGGTCCCCACACTAAAGTGTTCGCAGCGCTGGGGGCCGAGCCCGCCTGAGACCCCCGCAGGTCATGCCCGAGCACAGCCAGACAGAAGAGCAGCCACCACGGCCGCAGTGCAGACATACCGGCCAATGCGCAGGCTCACACGGGTTACAGTCGTGCGAGCTCTCGGCCTCTGCCGGCCCAAACTGCCATTGTTCGTTCAACTCTGTGAAAACTGAGCGGACGGACTGAAGTCAGTGTGCAGCGTGTGAACTTCGCTTCGCTCCATCTACACTCACACGACTCACCGCAGACACCGCATTTCACATCCGGTTAGAACGAGCGCGGTGTCGCTGTTTCAGGAACGTTAACGCTGCTAGCACACCGGCAGCTAACTCAAAAAAATCTTTTACAGTCGAGTAAACAATTAGCTGAATGAAAGGGGGCGGGACAACAGAGCGCGTTGTGAGACCCGATTGGCCAAGAGACCGATGGAGCTCCAGGTGTAAATGTGATTGGACGGAAACACGGAAGTTAAAGTCTTGGGTACATGCTGGCCTGAATGTAAGTGGTTGGAAATGAAAACTTTACCTCATATTTAAATAACAATAAAACGACTCCTCCCACTACTGGTAATAATATAAATGATAATAAACATGTTATAAATGTCACCTGAAAGTTATAACAAACTATAATTAATGTGATTTTATACGGCGCAGTCGTATTTGTTTTACTAGATATAATTTTATTTATATTTATTTGTACAAAATAGAAATGTTCTTAAATTAAATTTGTACAAATCTGAAGTCCTGAAAGATTTCAAAGAAGTTAAAGTTTAAGAACTTTTTTTCCAGTGTAAATATTAAATATTCTGTTTGAAAGTGCAGTTCGGGCCATATGTGGAAAATTAAACCATTTTTGTAACTCACAGCTTTAATTCAAATAAATAAAACCCATAAATCTTCCCCGTCTCAGAGGCTCAGAAGTAGTTGGTCAGACTAACATAATTTTGAATACAAACTTTATATTTTAGTATCTGGATAAAAGTCTTTGCAATGATATTTTACTGCCTGGTGACATCACCACGTGCTGTTTCCTTACCTGAGATGCTCTGCCAGTGTCTCTCCGCCGCTTGTTTCTGAGTCTCTGCCTTAAGTTTTGCATTTAATAACTAAAGCTGCTCTGTTGGGCTGAGATCAGGTCACTGACTCAGACATTGGAGACTTTCTTTGCTTTCCTTGAGAAAGTCTTGGGCTGTTTTTGCAGTTTGCTTTGGCTCATTATCTGTCTGCACTGTGAAGCTCTGTCTGATCAGCTCTGCAGGATTATCTGAATGTGAGCAGAGAGGAAGCCCTGAGCTCTTCACAGCTCATCCTGCTGCTTCGATCAGCAGTCACAATCAAGACGAACAACCTTCTTCCACTGCAGCCATAGCTGAACTTTGGCTCGTGAGCTGTTTCCTCCTTCTCCAGTTTCTCTTCCCATTACTGCAAACAAGTGTTTATGTACCACTCTGCATCTATTATTAACTCCACAGCGCGTCTTTTGTCCCGTTTTCATCCCCTCATCCCTAACCAGTTGCAGCAGGTGGCCCCCTGGTCCCTTCCCACTGTCACACATGATCACATAATAATAGATTGCATTTATATAGCGCTTTTCGGGGCCCTCAAAGCGCTTTACAATTCCACTATTCATTCACTCTCACATTCACAACAACAGCTACAGGTGTAGCCACAGCTGCCCTGGGGCAGACTGACAGAAGCGAGGCTGCCATAACGCGCTAATCTGCCCCTCTGGCCATCACCAGTAGGCGGTAGGTGAAGTGTCTTGCCCAAGGACACAACGACCGAGACTGTCCGAGCTGGGGCTCGAACCGGCAACCTTCCGATTACAAGACAAACTGCCAACTCTTTGAGCCACGACTGACTGTATATCATTGTAGTTCTTTACCTTCAGTATAAAGCACCTTGAGCCAACAGCTGCTGTATAAATAAAATTGAATGTAAACCGTCTTTATTTACATTCATGAAGGTGTCTCTTTGACAATAACACTCCTCCCTCCTCTGGAGTGTTAAAATGTTGTTTTTTTAACTAAAGAAAGAACTTGCGATCATCCACCTCAGCTGCCTTCTTCGGTTGTTTTTTCTGTCTGTGTGACACGTTGATTCCTTTTCAGCCTAACGAGGGCCTCCTCGACTTCCACTGACAGCTCGTTGGGTTTGGATAAAAGCGTAACTGGTTAAACTGTTTGTCAGTCAATAGGCCAATTATTGTTGAGCCTCTGACAGTGGGGACAGCGCATAGAAATGAACAGTAAATGCAGTACTTTTGTTAAACCTTGAATAAAATCAGGGAGTCTGCACGTTAGTCGCGTATTGATTTATAAATGCACTGCACTGGTGTATAAAAGTACACAAACTGTGTTCCAGTCAGAAAACTTATGGACCTACTAAATCTAACAAAACTGTCAAAATAATTAAAGTTTCTACATAAATATGATGCACTGGTAAAATCAGGCTTTTTGCTCTTAACATCACAGAATATCACAGTTACGTCTGTTCATGAACTATTTCTGAGCTTAAATGAACTCCAGTCCTCTTTATGTCATTAGACTCACCTGGCAGGTAGCGTTGAATTTACCAGAGGAAGGACAGTTCTTAGTCTGGAAGCTTTATTACTATTGATGAAAGGTAAATGACAATAACTGCATAAACCTGATCCTGGCTTTACCTGTGGGTCAAAACGTGGTTACTTACCTGAACAAAGGTCAAACTAAAGTGCTTTTGCACTCGCAGCTGGTTTAGTGACGAGAGCTCTCAGCCGTGTACATCAATCAATGTTTATTTCAATTTGCTGTTGCATCAACATATTTTCAGATCATTTTTTGTCAAGTAATTTCTATTACACTAGTATAATATCAAGAAGAACAAAAAGTGGTAGAATCCATTTAAATAAGACAAACGTTGCTGCCATCATTGAAAACCAAGTGAATGCCTCTTTAACATACTACAGTGTGAAGAACTACATCGTTCCTGTGATTTAGACAGAGCCAGAATACCAGATACAGTACCAGCAGTAACAGGTACAACATATACGAGAAAATATCCCAAGAATATACTTTATTTTTTATTTTTTTGTTTCACCTTTCACCCAAGATTGAACTGTACAGTTAATATAAAAACTGAAAACATAGAAACCGAAAACCTTCTAACAAAACACCCTGTCAGCAGAATCGGAGTTTTTTTGTCATTTTTTTGTGTATTTTGGTTTTGTGTTGTTTTTTCTGCACTTACACAAAACTCATTGACGGTACAGAGATAAGAGAGAACGACATTATTAGTTCGCTGTGTTTTAGACACCCCGTTGAACCAAATCCAGGTAGCCTGGCTGTAGGATTTCAGGTGAAGTCGGTAAAAATAAACGCGTGAAGGCCGCTCGAGCCTCAGGAATGTGTCAGCCGCCTGACAGGAAGCAGGCAAAGATGATTAGCAATGCAGATTCACGTGTTCCTCTTATTGTTTCAGGCTGTGGATGTATGTGCTGCCGTGCACGTTTCACGCGGGCGTGACGCCGCCACGATCAGCATAAAGGTCTGATGTGTGTGAGAGACGGATGCCGGTTATCCCGCGTTTGAGTTTTCAGTTCAAAATACAGACAAATACACAAGTACAAAATATCCTCCTCACTCGATGTTGTTCGTCCTTGTCGTGTGGCTACCCACTGACACGTAACACAATCACGATGTGATACACGACGACCATGTATCATGACACGTTTGTTGTTTTTAAAATACAAAAGCCTTCGTTAAAGAGGCCGTAACCATCAAATATAGGACTGCGACACAAGGATATCATAGTCACAGTCATCAAGAACGATATCGAAAGGAAGAGAAACCAAAACCGAACGAACGCCTTCATTTTTTTTTCACGTACTCGACGGCTGAACATCACTGGAAAAAACTGTCACTTCTCCCGAACCGCTTACTGACAAACAACTCCTCTTCATGTTCCCATCACGAAGACGGTGACAGTCACCACGAGTACTGCCTGTCATTATGAAAAGACGACTGCTCGGGTTGCACACCAGAATGCACCAACTGCAGAGTGAGGTGGAGAGAGATGTGAGGGTGTCGTTCACGTTGGCTGCTCTGGCTGAGGGAGGCTGTGGTTCTCTTTCTGCCTCACTCACACTTGCACACGCGACCTAACGTCGCACGAAGGCAGCGATAGACTCAAAGATCAGGGACAACTAAAACACGCCTTCATATGTTCACGGTCACCGTTCTCTGCTGTGAGCCACAGGAAACCCGGATCAGCTCCTCCGTGGTTTTTATGGCACGTGAATATAAGTTTGTAGTATAGATATAAACACACTGACCGCAACACGCTCCCACACCCACGCCTTCTCTCGTGTTCATTTCACGGGTTTGTAAGTTGCAGCAGCTGAAAAGTGGAACTAGATTGCTGAGAGCTGAGTGTTAATACAACTGAGTTATATTTCATTTGCACTGTGCAGCCCAGAGTACGAACAACGTTTTAGCGGTTTTTAAGTGTGTGTCGACAAAGTTAACTGTGTGCGTTTGGTATATATAGTGTGTGAAGTAATATGAGCTGAGACTAGGGAGTAAAAAGAAACATTAAAAAAAGGGAAAGTAACACAACTTTTGGCTTAGTAGCAATGCAGGTATACGTTTCCCTTTTTATATATCATTTTTTGTTAATATCTCAAAAAATAGAAAGTTTTTCATAATTTGTGTTGTTGGCTTACTTCATAAATAAAACGTCTTTTTATGTTTGACTCTCATGTTAAAGTAGCATGCTGCTTTTTAATATGGCAGTTGTATATTTTTAGTCATTCATTGCTGTTTCATGCATTTCTTGTTGGTTTCTTAGTTTTTGACTATCTACACAGTAAGGTCCAGAAAAACCGCACACACACACACACACACACACACACACACACACACACACACACACACACACACACACACACTTCCAGTTCCATCTTCAGACCTTCAAATGCCGCCATCTCCTCACCGTCCTTCTCGCTGCAGGTCTAGACGGGGAACTAGCCCGTCCTCATCACTCAGCGATGTGACAGTGTGTGCATGAAGCCAAGCCAGAAGCCATAAAGACAAAGTCACTGTGCCTCTCTTTGAATGCTTTCATTTTTGAAGTGAAAGTCCCGTCGCGGCATATCGTTCCCAGCAGCATGAGGGCAGACCGAGGCCCCCGTCCTGCTATTAGAACTGGTACCACTTCTTGTCCTTGCATTTCAGCATCAGCTGGAAAAGATACAAAAGGACATCTTCTTAATGAGAAGGACTGAAACCTTGAGAGCATTTCTTTTTATTGCATTGGGGAGTAAATTATTGATTTGCCAACAAGAGAATCATTTAATAACCACTTTTGTTGGCTTCAGTTCAGTTTTTGTTAATGTCTCAAAATCCAAAGTTGTACATTTAGATGCTCTTTATATTTTCACATCATGTTATGTTTCATTTTCACCTCATGAGCGTGCTTGGAGAAGGCTTCTGCACTAGTCATCATTAGGGCGGTGCGCTCCTCCAGCTCCCCCAGCCTCTGGCCTCTCTCATCCAGAGCAATGCGCGCCCTCGCCAGCTCGCCCACCACTCCACTAGCGGCGACCTTCATGCCCTCCACTCCTCCCTGTCCAGGGATGTGCTGCGCAAGACTCCGAGAAGCCTTCCCAGCCGCAGCCTCGCCGACTGTTGGAACGAGACAGAGTGACAGGGATGTGGAAATCAAACGCACCCTGGGGTTCTTCAGACACGCCTCCTGATTTTGCCAACTGACTGTTTGTCATTGTTTGCCAACATTGTGTGCTCGCTCTGACTGCGATTGCCTCGTCTGATACAAGTTAAACTAGTCTGAGTATTTTCAACTTAAGAAAACTTTTAAGGTGTTCTCACATCGCCCCGTCTCACTGCGCGACCTCTTATTGGTTAGAGCGAGTGCTAGTCTCACAACCAAAGCCACAAAATCAGCAAGTACATCTTATGTAATCTGCCATGTGCAGGCTAAAGACATTCATGTCTTATTATTAGCAGTATAATATGGTGTCATGCATTCTTGAATGCTTTATATTAAGAAAATAATGTAGACAGACAACGCACAGAGCTCTTCTCTGTCAAAGGTGTGGGCATTTCCTCCAAAGAAGCCTTTTAAAAATCCTCGGTTCTGGGCTTCTGGTGTTTCTATTGGTGTAAACAGCTCTCCCAGCATTTCCTGCAAAAAAAAAAAAAAAGAATTTTAGAAGTTGCACGAAGGATGTAATCAGAGAAGATGGCAGATAATTCACTGGCCATCAGCAACAGACGGAGGGGATGATTGCCAAATGGCCAATTTTGCCAGCCCTAGTGCTGACCTGCAGGTTATCGCACATCTCCTGGCTGTATGTAATTCTCTGGACCTCTGTGGGGGAGCTGAGATACAGTGCCTGCCCCCCATTGGTGAAGTAAAAGGTTCTTGCAATGCGCATGTCTGTCAGAGGCAGGTAATTGACATCCATGAGCGGTCTTAAGCTGGGCAGACTGTGGGCAGAATGAAAGAGTGAAGAAAGGTAAGAACAGCTGTGTAATAATTACTGAGCTTCAAAAGTAAACTACACTGAACATCAGAATAAAAAGAAAGAAATCATTATTATGTTTCTTTTCTAATCTTTGGTAACAAAGCAGCTTTTCATAGGCTGTAGTCTCAGAGGTAAACTGCACGAATCCGGTCTTTAAGTCTGACGTCATTAGTCAAACGAACACTGCAGCATCACTGAGAGTTACAAACTGTCTAAATTCTTTCACCTTTAATAAAATGATCAGCGTTGCTGCTTTACCAGGTGTAACAATTCAGTTTAACATCCATGAAAACAGGATTTATTACGTTTAACAGAGTTAGAAGTTAGCAGGAAGTTAGCTCGCTAGCTTCCACCTAAACATGATATAGCATGTTCTGACTGAGAGATTTCTGGAAAATTCAAACGTACAGCTCTGTTATCACTTCCAACATAAATGAAGACAGAAAACTAAACAGCAGTGACGTTTATAGGGTTACTGAAGTTGGGCTAGCTGCTATATAATGATGTGCTACGTGATCACTAGCGACACAGCTATGTTAGCATAAACACAGTGAAGCTGGAGGATGAACGCTAACTTTTTTCCACTCGATAAAAGTTAACATGAGGGTTCCTGATGGTTAGAGACAAATGCAATCGCATGGCAGGATGCTGTAAACGGACCAAACTTCAGTCAGGAGAACAACTGAGATAATCCATCCACAATACGAGGTTAGTCATTCATATACTGCTGCAGGGGCTGTAGCTACATCGTAAGGGTTTAAACACTGAGCTTTAAAATGAACAGTGGTGGTAAAAACAGAGAGAGTTTTTTAGGGGCTTGTTCAGATTAAATAGAACAAGATACAAAACATGTTAAAAACACAGCAGCCTTAATAAACACAGTAGTTTGGACTCGGAAGCAGGTTCATCACATCATCACTTAAAGACCGGATAGAGCCAGACCATTCAGCATCCACCCAGTGAGTGGCCCTTGCATAGAGTCACATGTAACTCTCAGATTTCCTCTGCACCAAAACGCTCTCACTGACCGGTTCAGATTAAGTATCCTTACCTGTGAAAAGGAAAAAGCTGCTACGCAGCCACGTTCAGCTTAACAGTGCAAACACAGAAATGATAGCTGCGCTGACAGAGCAGGCTTTAAAGCAGGCCGCGCTACAGCGTGCGCAGATTAAAACAAACATCTAATAACAGAGAACTCGAGCGGCCGTGGTCATACCTGAGTGTCATGACGTGTCCGTTTGCACAGAAGCAGGCGAGGCACACGCTGTTGCACACCGACACCACGTCAGCCCTCAGCACAAAGGACGACTCTGTGATGTTGTGGACAAACAGGCAAGACTGCGAGGGCATCAGGAACACTTTGGCCTGCCTCTCAGAGCACACCACAGCCAAGTGTCCGTCTCCGCAGGCGTCCTGGGAGGACGATGGCGAAAAGTGGACCAGCTTGCGCCTCCGCAGTCGGTCGGGGTCCTCGGGGGCGTTGTGGTCCCGCCAAACCTCATAGGGGGGCTGGATGAGAGCTCCCATGCAGTCCAAGAAGCTGAAGCGTAACACAGAGCCCTTCAGCATCAGCACCGCTCCTGTGAGTGTGTGAGCAGGAGAGGGACCCAGCACACAGTGGGAGAGAAAAGTCTTTAAAGCTCAGCACAGGATGGAAGACGGCGCTAAGCGTAACATTTCAGTCAAAAAGATGCGTCTATGTTCTCACGTGGTCTTTAAAACTGAGCATGTATGTACAGACCACTGCTGCCAGAGTCCTGGCAGACCTCTGCTGTAGGTCTCTTCGAGTCAAAGCGGGGTCCTTCCTTTCCACTGTTGTGATTTTCCCTCTAATACTGCCTGTAATATAACGTTTGTATAGCTATACAAAAAGGACTGAATGATACAAGGCAAGCTTCACAACCTTGTACACTTAACTGCCTCACAAGTGCAACTACTGGATGCAGTAATACATTACTGACACTTTTCAGATGCTGCATTTACTACATCGGACGTTATCCAATAGACGCCCACAGGAGCACTTTAGAACGAGAGGAAACAATCCTTTCTTCTTCTCTCGAGTGGATCTGTGACCTTCCAGTAATAAGCTCGCTTCTCATAACGTTTAGTCTCAAGGGAAGAGCTGCTGCTTCAAAGGGACTGGAAATTTGGCTATATTGATGTTTTTACTTTGAACGGGAGACCTTTTTTTCAGGAGCAATAATGCGTCTCTGAGTGGCTCCGTTTTGTGTAGACTGTAGAAACACTGTCCACACTCTGGAGTACAAAATCAAGCCATTTGCAAAATAATGCACGATGCCCATCAAAGTTTCAGTGAAAGAAAATCACGTGTAATTGAAACAAATGAGGCCTTTGAAGCCTCACAGCTTAACACGGTGCATCTGTGCTCTTGGAGAACGATCTCCACTTACTGTAAGAGTCGGCCACACATTTCCTCTCATGTTCATAACGACCGTTTGTGTCCACAGAATTCAAACTGAGTGAAAGATGAGATTTGTTTGGTCAGATCAGTGTCCCGGGGTTTAGACCGAGCTCCATCAGAGCAGCATCAGCATCACTGACATGATGATAACTTTATTATGGACTGTGGCCACTGTGGGTCGGCTCCAGCTGTTCAGGGTAAACTTCAGTTTCATACAGATCTGTGACGAATCAGTTTCCTCTACGTACCAAATGACCATTTTACTTCAAACGTAATTTTAATGCAGTTTTTCAATGACAATGAATCCACATTTTTGCCTTTTGAAGGCATGTGGTCCTAAACTTTGATCAGCTGTAACGCAGCCTGTGTCGGTGTCTGTGACTCAGCATTTGGAGTCCATGTTGAAAGTATGCTTAGTCCTTGCGCTGCTATTATTAGTTAGGATTTAGTTGAGTTTCATTCTGGTTTTGTTTCTTCTATAATTCCTCATTTATAAGTCGTCTCTTGTCATGTGTTTATTGTCTGCATGTTGTCATGTCCACGTCTCTCCATGTTTTGTGTTCTGTGTTCAGTGTGCTTGGTTTTACTTCCCCCTGGGGCACCATCATGTTCGTTTGTGTCAGCTGTGTTTGCACTTCCCTCGTTACCCTCCTGTGTGCTTCAGTCCGCTTACTGTCCTTGGTCGGGTCGTCTGTTTGTTTCATGTCATAGAGTTTTTGCTCCTACTGTTCAGGTTCCTGTGCAGTTTCATGCTCTAGTCTCTTGTCATTGTTTCCATATTTAGCCACAGTTGTTTCCCAGTTATGTTTCAGTTTAGTTTCACCCTTGTTTCAACTCGCCTCGCTTGTCTCTTTTCTCATCAGCTTAAATCAACGGCTCTTTGTTAAACCATAGTTCGTTGGGGTCCGTTCCTCAAACACACCGGCTGCTCAGCCGTGACAGCCCGTTTCAGTCTAAGTGATGTTTCCAATAAATTTCATGCTCAAAAAATGTTTCGTGTCACTCAGATTTCTTCTTGTTGCAGATTGAAGCTCTACTTGGAACCAACCATGCAAAATATGAATTTTGCCGTTTTTCAACTTTTGATTGGGATTCATTCCAACACATTTGTAATATGAAATCACTGCACTGAACTCACCTTATGAACTCCTAAATGAAGCATTACACTGAAAAACCTGCAGTTCTTGGAGCCTCCACTTCAGGCTGGTTTAAACAAACGTTACAGCAGAACAAGCACGAGTCACCGCCTGGTACAACTATCGCTGTTGGTCTCTGTTGCTATAGAAATATACATGACTCTATCCAGAATATTGTGACGCTTCATTCATTCGTGCTCTCCCATTAGCATGATGGCAAACTGCTGAACTACAGTGAAACTACAGAGGACCTGTGGCCCTAATCATGACCGTATCATAGTGTTGTTGCTTCAGCAGTATCATGTAGGCGGGTATAGTTTAAAGTGACTAATAACTTTGGTACTTCTT